TCAACTTTTCCTCCTGGAACATTCCAGATAAAAGGAGGACACACTTATTCAGCCTTGTTTAAAAATATTTCAGCACAACTCCCTGGGTTTCTGACAAGTCCCGATACAGCCCCCTAAAAGGCGACTCCCCAGGAGGAATCCTAACATCTGCCCAGGGATCAGCTTGGCCAATTGGTGTCATTGTCTCTGTTGCTCTACTCCTGAGAATATCACAGCTGTCACCCCAGATGAGGGAGCCAGAACCCCCAACCTTGAATTCCTGACTGCTGGCTTCATCTGCATAGGAGATCCCTGGGGAGTCAGGCTGGGGTGATCGTCTCCTCCTGGTTCTCGAGGATATCCCACCCCACAACACAAAGCAAAGAGAGGCCCAGTCTCCGCCTGAGGCCAAACCTTCCCATCTTTTCTCCTGAGACAGCTCTCCTCGGCCAGGGCGCCCTCTGGAGTTGAGCAGGGCTCCAGCTTTCCCGGTAACTTCCCTTTCTAGTCCGATGCGCGCCTTGGCCAGCTGTCTAGAGGGAGGGCCCCCTTTTCTGTGGAGTCTCAAGAGAGACCTCAGGCTAAATGGTAGGTGGAGAGGAACGAGGGAAACCCAGTGTTCCACTCTCCTCCCGAGCACATTCTCCAAAAGTGGTACCTCTCCAGTCATTTTTAAGGTAATACTATTGACAAGATCTATGATCTTGTAGAACCTTCTGTGATAAACAAACAAAACAAAACAAAACAGAGCAGTGGTTCTTCACAGTCCTACTCTGTGATGACCCTGGATGGAACCTCACCTCAGCAAACGCACAAACGCGCGCATGCACTGATGTAGGCAGTTGGTTTCAGGAAGCTACACATCCGTTGTCCCTGGGTTCAGAACCTGGGTGGTTTAGAGGAAGCAACGTGAAAGTGGGGCTGTGAGACAGGGACGAAAGGAAGTTCAAGGACAGCATTTTTTTTTCTTGGCAGCCCTGACTCACCAGCCCATGGGAAGACCCCACGCTCCTCCACCCCCACCACCTGACCCTGCTGCCTGGGTCACGCCCACGGTGATAAGTCTAGTCTGGCAGACACTAGAGGATTATAGGACACCACGCAACGCTGTTTGTCTCACCCATCTGGCCTTACCAAGCTGTCCCTCAGTTACCCTCTGAGCCTCATCCTTTAAGCCTTGGGACTCTTAGCTCTTCCAGATATTGAGGAAGCCAGGCCTTTGAAGACACTTCTGTGTACGGTCACCCAGCCCCCTGCCACTCCCGCATCCGAAGGCCCCCCAGGGAGGGCCTGCTTCTCTAAGGACTCTTGGGCCTCTTAGTCTGATCCAGGTGCCTCAAATAGCTTCCCCTTCCTTCACATCCTAGAGCTAAGCCTCTGGCTGCCTTGGCTGTGAACATCTGCATACCTAAAACCCACATTTACATTTTATGATTTAGACTCCTGGAAAACTGATTAGAGTCCAGCTCCAATATACAAGAGGGAAGGAAATGTTTACTCATGCAACCCCCACCCAAGATGTGATGGAGGTGTCAGGCAGTCTGTTGTATGTGTCCAGGAGGGCACTGTGAGCATCCTTAATCCAGGTGTGATGTGTACTCTCTGCATTGGGCTTGTCCTCCATCTGGCTGGACCCGTGTTCCCTTAAAATGCACCTGTGAGTCCATTTGAGGTGTCCTCAGTCTGTTGAGGGAACCCTTGAGGTGGATGAGTATTTTTAAGGCCTCAGTTTCCTCATCTGTAAAATGGGGATGACACCTCACAGGACTGCTGTGCAGGCTGCAGGAGTTAATGTAGGTCCAGTCCTTGCAGCAGAGCACGGCCAGTAAACGTTGGTCATTGTGATGTGACTTCGAACAGAAAGCTCCAGCCTCTATTCCTTCCTTTTCCCAACTACCTTGAGCCCGGGAAGACACTCGGGTATTCCCCCTGGGGATCTCACTGTCCAGAGTCTGGATGTTGCTGAATGGGAGGCCAGGGGACAGCAACAGTGGTACCTTCTTTCGCTCAGCTGCATGCTGAGGCTGAGCCGGAGGAGGAGATCCCCGGATGGGGAGTGGGGTGGAGCTGTCACCCTCCAGGGAGCCAGGAGCTCTCCATAAAAGAGAAGAACTCAGAGCCAGCTGGGAACCCCTAGAGAGCCCCCAACTGGAGTGCCTGCTCTGGGACCCACCGGAATTTTCTTCATTGTCATGAAGCCAATATCAAAGCTGCCTTCCGGAAGAAACTTCTGTCTTCCTCCCCCACTTCTCTTGGCCCAGAGACACAAGCTCCTCCCTAAACTGGTTCCATTCAGCCCAAAGCTGAGATCTGCTTGGGCTTGTCTCTTCTTCCTTGGGCAGGGTTCCTGCTAAGCTCCATTCATTTTGTCTTTATTGTACTTATTCACCAAACAGGTATTTCATGGGACCCTCATAAGCAAGAAGCAGGCTGGGGGAAGGATTACAGAGGCAAATGAGACCCCAGGCCCTGGAGAGCTCTTCTTTCCTAGGGGTGACTATACCATGAGGCAGAATAAAAGATATTCACACCAGAGATAGAGGCAAGAATGCTGTGCGTCCTTAAGGAACTGACTCAGGCTATCTGGAAGGCTTCCTGGAGGAGAAAGGCAGTAGACATGAGACTTAACATTTCAGCAGCAAAAAGAAGGAAATTTAATTTCATTTTCCCAAAATGATCTTGTGGAATGAGCTCTAGACAGATGCTAGAGGTTTGCTGTTCTTGTCCCAGCTTGAAAGCTGACCAGCTGAAAGAGCTCACGTGTATCATTTCCTTCTCCAAACAGACAGGAAGCAAAATTAGACTCTCAAAGAAGTGCATAGACTATAGACCCACAGAATTGTCTCAGATAAAAAGGATTTTATCTGATTTTTATCAGATAAAAAGATTTTATATCCCATGTGTCTTCATGGCTGCAGCCTAAGCTGCCCAACTCCCAAGTGCTTATCTTCGTCACAGCTGCTTGCCTGGCACCCAGCACTGTGTCTGGCACAATAAATGTTTATTGAATAAAGTGAATAAATGAGGTGACAGAGACTATGACCATCTCTTTGGCCAGAACTGAAACCAGTCCTGCCCTCAGATCATCAGATCCCTTGAGGCTTTTGCTCCTTAATAGCCTATGTTTGCTTTCAGGATAAGAGGAAAGATGGCTGAAAGGAACTGTCCTTTCAGAGGTCCAAGCTGGGGCCTCTGCTGCAATCAATAGAAAGTGGGTCACAGAACTGCTCTGCAGAGCAGACCCTTGAGGAAAAGCCTGGATTCCATGCCAGCTTACGAATATTGAGTGCCTACTGTGTATTAGTTGTTATCCCATAGCTTTAATTCATTTAATTGCGACCTCAAAGGGGTGCACAGGAGAACGTGGATGATGGCGAACTGTAAACCCCAGAAGCTGACTGAGTGGTTCAGCCAAGTCATCACCCCCCTCTGAGGGTTCATTTTCAATCTCTGTAAAATGGAGACAATACAGCCACTTCGCCAGGTTATGGGGATGAAATGAGCACGTGGAAGAGGAGCACTTCATAAATGCTAGTTATTATTGTTCCGCTGGGCATACAAGTCCGGTCGCCTCCGCCCAGGGCGCACACAGAGGCACGTTCACATTCCCCCGCACATGCAGAAACACAGAGAAGCGTACAGAAGCCAGCCGCAGGAGCTCGCTGAGCCTCAGACCCAGGGACTCTGTCGCGCCCCGCAGAGAAGCCGTCCTGCCCTCAGCTTCCCTCCTTTTCTCTCCGCTCTTTCTGAATGAACTTCGGCCACGAGTTTATTTTTTTATGAATGAGAGCCCAGGCAGTGAATGAAGCCGGGAAGCAGCCTCTGCGCTCCGATTGGCCCTGGCGGCTGGGAAACTCCGCCCCCCGGCTTAGCGAAGCGAGTCTCCGGATTGGCGGGCGTGCCCGGCCCTGGGGTTTCATTCACAAAAGTCAATGAAACAAAGGGAACGGGGTGGGGGGGTCGTGGGGGGAGAGAGCCTGGGCCGAGGCAAAGGAAAAGCACCAATCAGCGTCCTCTCCGGGCTCACAACTGTTCGCGACGCCCGGAAAACAAGCTGGTGCGCGGGGGACCCGGGGCCGGGTCCGCCTCGCTCCCGCCTAGCCCCGCGGCCCTCGCTGCGGCCCCGGGGCAAGCTCGGGACCACCCCCCCTCGCGGCTCCCGCACTGAAACTGCGGCCTCAGGTGAGGCTGCGGGAGGGGGAGGGAGAGAGAGTGTCCGTGATTCCGTGCCTCGCCGCCAGCACACCCCACACTCTCTCACCGCCACCTCCGCAGATTCCAGGATGGGTGGTGGGAGGCGCTGGGATACAGGGTTGGAGGGGGCGCGGGAGTTGTGGGCGTGCGAATGGTGCTCGCCTCGCCTGCTCCTCCGCGCTCGAGCGCGCGCGCACACGAACACACACACACACACACACACACACACACGTGTCTTATGTAACCGAGCCTGGGCAGAGCAGGGCTGCAGAAACCAGCCGAAACGGCGACCCCGACTCCCAGGAGCAGGTGGGACCTCCTTTGGCGGGAGGGGAGTGGTGGCGGCGCTCGGCTCAGCAAGCGGAAACCACCCCCCACCATCGCCTGAGTGAGTCGGAGAAGTTTTGCCGTCGGACCCAGAGCCTGGGGACGTTCCCTCCCCGTCGCCCTTACCCACCCCCACCCCGCTGCCTCCCCAGGACGTTCTGCGAACGCAGCCCCCACCCCCGCCCCCAGGTCTCTGCCCCCGCGCGGGGCCCGGGCCTTACGGCCGGAGGGAGCGGCCGGATGGAGCGGAGGATGAAAGGCGGATACTTGGACCAGCAAGTGCCCTACACCTTCTGCAGCGTGAGCGCCGCGCCTGCCTCCACGCCCGCCCCTGCCCTGCACTCCGCCCCACAGCCCCTTCCCCGCGTTTCTAGTGGGGTCCAGGGTTGCCCGGCCCCTGAGCCACCCCGGGAACCCAGTCCCACCCCCTTGCCCAGCAGGGCTCAGGGTGACTCTGGGGCATTCTTCCCCTTTCCCGCAGAAATCACCCGGAAATGGGAGCTTGCGCGAAGCGCTGATGGTCCCGCAGGGGAAGCTCATGGACCCCGGTTCCCTGCCGCCCCCCGACTCCGAAGGTAAAGAGCCAGAGAGACAAACCGCGACCCTCCCCACCACATACGCCCAGAGAAGCGATCCTGGAACCCCCGCCCTTTTGACAAAAAGACTCACCCTCCAAGGGACTCTGATCTTTCTCGGCCCCTACAACCCCAAGGAGGATCGCGGGCTCACTGGGGCCCCCTCTTTTTCACCATCACCTCCACCTCACCTTCTCCAATTCCATTATTCACTCCTCAGATCTCTTCCAGGATCTAAGTCACTTCCAGGAGACGTGGCTCGCTGAAGGTGAGTAGTTTCGTGACCTTTTCTATGACTGTGGCGGGGGGCTGCTCCCTACCCTGGTATTCCACCTAGCCCACTTCCTCTCTCCCTGGCCTGAAGAAGCTCTCCAAGGCCCCCTCCCCAAGTCCCCAGCCTTTCTGCTCTCCCCAGCGCCCAGTGTGGACACTTATATTGATATTTATTTTCTCTACCCCGAGCCAGGCTTGTGTAACTAGGCCTGGGGATGAATCAGACCATTGTGTGGGGTATTTGCTTATTTGAATGGAACTTGGCCCCAGGCCCGTTTTCCTGGTTGAAATTTTCATTTGCAAAATTTGTTTGGCAGCAGCCACCCGGCTGAGGTGTGTGTTGGGATATGTTGGGAGGCAGGGGGGAAGGGGTGTGAGGAAGAAGAGGATGAGGAAAAAGAGCAATTAATTTGTTACCTGTCTTCAGGAGCTGCCAAAGCACTGATTTTTACCTAAACCCTTGGTTTCTGTTCTTCCCAAATCCCAGTGCCAAACAATTTTCTGTCTGAGCCAAAGAACAACAAAAGTTTAAATAATTCTTTTTTGCAGCACTTTGTCAGAGGGCTTAGAGCTACCCCCTCTTCCTCCAAAGGCCTTGATTGTAATTCTGATGGCAACTGATCCTCCCTCCTCCTTTCCTCCTGAATTCTTCCACCCCAGGCAAATCCCCCCCCACCTTGTTTCCCAGGGTGTTAGCTGTAGCTGCACGCTGGCCGAGGTGGGGTCAGTAGCTGGGCCTTGGCTCAGTGGGGAAGTGTGTTCGGCGGTCTCCTGGTTGGAGTCATCGGTGTGCTTCGGTGGGGCCTGAGGTTGTCGCTGGCTGGGCTGCAGGTAGGAGGGTAATGGTGGTTAGACAGCCTCTGAGAAGGAAGGGCTAACAGCCCCATCTTAGGTCCCTTTATTTTAACACTGAAAACCAAGAAACCACAACGCTAGGAATGCCTTTTCGAAGGGGTTCTCTTTCTTAGAATCTCCCCAGCCCTCCAACTGGGCATCCTTGCTGATTTTTTTTTTTGAAACTGCAACCCAGCTCCTCTGGAACCCTCTATAAAAGATTGGGGTAGAAGGGGAAGACCCCTGATTAGAGCCTTGGAATGTAACTAGATCTGTCTTGACCACTGTGGTATCTCCAAAAATCTGTGTTAAAAGAATGACTGTTTGGTATAGTGCAAGTGACTGAGACATTTTGTGGCATTCATGCCTCACCGGGGACTTGGGTGCTGGAGGGATTTGGGGGTTCTGAGGGTGTTGTGCATATTTTCTCGGCTCTACAAGTCTCGGGTGCCCAGCTCCGAATGCAAAGCCGAGCCATACCCAGTCTGCCCATCCTCCTCCCAAGCTTCCGAGGTTCCAGAGCTGGGCTGAGGCTGAAGAACACAGAGGTGTCAGTTTCCACGGTCTCTCAAAGACTTCCGTTCCCAACGCCTGATTTCTGTCTGGCCCGCCAGGCTCCTTGTCTGTCAGCTGAGGGTCTCTGCGCTCCCCACAGCGGGCAGCTCCTGGAGCTGCGATTTAGGGGTAGGCTCAGAGGTTGGCATTTTGGCAGCAGCTGGTCCATTTGTGCCTGGGTTTGCAATGGGAAAGGGAGAAAAATGTTCTCGTCTCCTCTCAACCTTGGAAGCCCCACCCCTTGGCAGTGGGGGTTTAGAGACTGTACATGTGTCTATCTGCATGTGTCAGTGTGACAGCAAGTGTGTGTTTCATGCTGCTGCCCTGGGAGTCTCTGTACATTTAAATCCAGTGGGTGGGGAGGTGGGGGTGGGGATCGCGAGGCAGAGCGGGGGTGCGCGCTGGGATCTCCTTGGTTCCCTCTCCTTCCTTCTGAGGGAGCAGCTCAGGTTCCCAGCTGGCGATGGATGGCCAGGCCTGAGGGGGGGATGCTGAGGCCGCTCGCGCCTTCTCACTCTCTCTGCGGAGACAGATGCAGCTGCCGGGGCCCTGTCCCCCTGCACCGTCCCAGCACCACCCCAGCCTCCTCTCCTGCCTCTTCCCACCAGGTCAGTGACCTCTACAGCCCAGGGGGACTTTGGGGGTGGCAGGGAGGGACTAGTTCCTTTGGAAACTTGCCAGTAATGGGGCGCGTCAGTAGGAATGGGGGCTGGAGTCCAACCTCCCTCCCTCAGTTTGATTTTTTTCCCTAAAGCCCCAATGGGGAGACAAGAAGCAGATCCTTGTAGAGGGGAGGGCACGGGGGTGGGGGGATAGTGAAAAATTCAGGGGGGTACCCGGATTGGATCTGGCCAACGTGGTGGTGGGCTCAGAGTCCAATGTCCGAGCATCACGGGGATGTGAGTGGGGGCTCTGTGGGGGCAGGCAGACGGTTCAGATATCATCGGGGTTGGGGGTTTTCTGGACAGAGTGAAGGGGATGAATTGGGTCTAAGAGGGCGTGTCTGGTTCCGGGGTGCCGGGTCTGCGGGGTGGCCGGGTCTGTGGGGTGGCCGGAAGAAGGCTCGGGCTGCCGTAGGAAAACGCAGGCTTGGGCAGGCTGAACCCAAGCTCTGCCGGGTTATGGTAAAAGGTGCGCTGCTTCTGGTCCGGGGTTCCTTTCCTGGCTCGTGGCGAACCCTTGGGGACAATGACTTTGGTCTATTTGGTAGAAAGGAACATTGACCCTGGGCCATGCGTGTCCTTTGTGTGGGGCTGGGATCTGTGGAGTCCCAGAAGCTCTGCAGAATAGTTGCAGGGGTCTGTGCGCCCTCTGACACTGTAAAGCTGTTGGGGTACCCCACACGCACAGGAGTGTGGATTTTTTGGAAAGGGAATGATCCATATCCTTTATGAGAGTCTCAAAGGGACGGGTCTCTCTGCTCCCCTCCGCTCCCCAGTCCCCCTCCGAGGTTTCCAGTCCCCTTGCCCTCTGGTTTCCCCCTTTGTCTTTGTAAGTCCAGAGGAGATCCTATGTATGAAGGGTGTGCGTGGGGGGATGTTTCACTCGTGAGCTGCTGTGGAGTGAAAGGAATTAGGGTGTGTGTGAACCCGTGTGAATGCACGCCAGTTCCTCAGCATGTCTGTGGGGAGAGGGGAGGTTAATCCCCTCCCCGAGTCTTTCTTAGCTACAATACTTTCCTTCTACATATTTCTGGCTCCTTCCCTTCTAGAAGGCTCTTGTCCCCTCCACAGATAGAGAACTGGTTCCTTCCAGTACAGAGACTGCCGGGGTGGGGGAGGGGTAAGGGTGAGCGCTGAGGCCTGAGCAGGAGCTCTGGAGTGGGGCTCCCTGCCTCTCCACTAGGACTCCTTAGGAGGCGCCTTCCTGCTGCAGTTGGACCCTAGGAAAGGGAGAGAGGGTGATGGGACCTGTATGGTGTAGGTGGGTGGGTGGCGAACCTGGGCTGGTTAGCTGCTCGGCTTGTTTAACCTTCCAGTTTGGGAGCCCTGCTTGGGATGTCCCCAAGCCCCTTCTCTTCTGCTGCCCACCCCCCTCATTAGAGGGATGTTCCCTAAAATCTCCCCTCTCTTTGGGCATTATGCTGGCTTGGCTGTTTCCCTATCCTTCATACCCTGCCATGTCCTCAGGCAGATAAACTCCACCCTCGTGCCAGGATGGAGTTGGGGGAAGACTGCCACACTGGCTTGGCAGCCAGAGCTCAGCCAAGTCAACAAATAAATACAGAGAGTGGTGTACACTCAAGACCAAACATGGTCATTAGAATTTCTCCTGCTCTCCAGGAACACGAAGCACAATGTTACTCTTCCTGTTTCAACAGTTTTTGGGCGACTGAGGCCCTGTCCTGCCCTGCCCTTTTGGGAGAAGCCAGTGGTCTAGTGAAGGGCCAGCGGTGACAGGGGTTCGTGCCCCAGCCCTTTTTCGCTGATTTCCCCTGGCGGGGGGAAGAGGATGGCACCACCTCTCCAGGGCTGTGGTCTGTGAAGAGGGGCTCCTGGTCAGACCTTCAGGCCTGAGATGGGAGGAAAGGCAAGATGACCCCTAGGGCTCTCTGGGGTCCTGGGGGAGGCCCCCAACAGGAGATGCCCTCGGCCCATTGCGTCAGTAGAAAGCAGCCGTTAAGGAAGCCCCAGAGGGGGCCCAAGTACTCAGCCTCCCGGGTTTGCACGCCACCACCTCCTGGGGATCCTTCTTGCCTCGCTAGCAGGGAGGGAAACGTCACTCATCCTGCTCCCACCACTCCCAGTCTGCCACCTGTGGGGGGGGGCGGGGGCGGGGGGCGGGGAGGACACAGCCTGGTTGGATGTGGGCCATGCACCCCTGGGGAGTATTTTCCCAAACCTGCACCTGGACCCCACCCCAGACCTGTGGGATGAGACTAAAGGGGGGGTGGGGATGCTGGGAATCCGAGGTGTAACAGTGTCCCCAGATTCTTGATTCTGGCCAGTTTGGGACCGGTTGCCTTTGTGCCCTGGTGGCGCCCCTGTGTTTTTGTTTGTTCTTGCCAGGGGGTGTCATCATGTCCTACTGACTTGTTTGATCACTTTAGAACTGTGTTACGCTGACTGTTACGCTGACGTTTCATAAGTTTTTTAGCTGCTGGTGGCTCCTGGTTCTTAAACGCCCTCCTCCCAATCGCTCTGTCAAGAAGTCAACTATTTTAAGATTTTGTGTGTTTATTTTCAGAGAGGGGGAGAGAAGGAGAGAAACATCAATGCTTGGTTGCCTCTGGCGCGCCCCCCCACTTGGGGACCTGGCCTGCAACCCGGGCATGTGCCCTAAACAGGGGATTGAACCAGTGACCCTTTAGTTCGCAAGCCAGCGCTCAGTCCACTGAGCCACACCAGCCAGGGCAGTAACATGTATTTTAAAACACTTGGTACCTCTGATACTTAAAGCAGGTTGGTGAAGAATTTTCCTGCCACGTTGTAAAGTATCCCCTGTGAGAAGAGCTTTCCCCAGAGGCCCTGCCTCTGCAGATACCTGGTAGTGGGGAGGGGGAGCCCTGAGGGCGAGGGAAGAGCTGGCAGATTAGGGTCTCTTCAGTCCTTGCTCCCAGGCCCAAGGAGCTGGCTCCCACCAGCCTGAGGACAGAGGTCATTGTATGTTTACTCACCGAGGCAACAAGTAATGCATTGAGTTTCTGTCCTGAGCTAGAGCCTGTTCCTGGGGTCCTGGGGAATCAGACAAACAAGATAGATAAAGCCCTGCCCTCGGCAAGCTTAACGCTCTGGCAGAGGATATGGACAATGAACATGTAAACAGAAGGCCATACATGCTTGGGGGAAAATAAAACAAGTGAGAAAGGGCTGGGAGGGACCACTTTGGTCTGGTGGGCAGAGGTCTCTGAGGAGGTGACAAAGTGAGCTAAGACTTCAGTGGCCAGAAAAAACAGGCAGGCAAAGACCTGGGGAAGAGGGATCAAGCTGATCAGCTTTGAGGACCCAAAAGGAGACCAGAGCTCTGGAGGGTAAAGGGCTGGGAGAGGCAGGTCAAAGAGGTAAGAAGCGTGAGACCCTGCGGGGCCATGGAGACCTAGGGGAGGAGTTTGGGATTTGACTTGGTTATGAAAAAGATCATTCTGACAACTATGTAGAGAACAACTGACTACAGGATGTGAGAGTGGAAGTAGGGGGTTCTGATCAGAAGCTGTGGCTGAAATCCAAGGGAGAAACTATGGAGCCTTTGCCCAGGAGCAAAGCTTGGGGTATGTATTTGTACAGGCGAGGGCAAAGTGGGAGTGTTCTCGAGCTGTCCCCCTCCTTGGACCCTCACCCTTCCCAGCCATTCCCAGCTCCCTCCATTAAACCCGTCAGCTTGCCCGCTGTCCAGTCTGAGAGCAGTCTCCTTGGGTTTTATCACTTCACTTGGACCCACTCTGTTCTTGAGAGAGGGGCAAAAATGGACAGACTCTGGGGTCAGGGGAGGCACTCAGCTGCATACCCACCTGAAGGAGTTGGCAAGGCCAGCAAAGAACTAGAAATCAATCCGGATATCCATGTTGGAGGCCGTGGATGAGCTCCTGTTCTATTTTAGTTTTGCTGCCTAATCCCCAAGCCCAGCTCTGCCCACACTGGCACCCTGGGAACACTCCTCAGACTTCCATGCCTAGGGAGCCCTCCGCTCTCCTAGCTGCACATCAAAGGGATGAGGCACCAGACCTCCCAGTGTCCCCAGCCTCTGCCTCTCCCATGGTCATCCTTTTTCTTTTCTTTTTCTTATTTTTATTTTATTTTTTTTAGTTCTCTCAAACCACCTTCTTTTGTCTCCATCCCATCTCCTTTCCCAGGATCTAGATTTCACCCTGGAGATTGTATAAAACACAGATTTCTGGGTTTAGCCCAGGTTCAGAAACTCCCCATGTGATTCAAAAGCCACAGGATCTCACTCTTTGTAAGGCCTGCCCATCCCAGATGTGACTGCTGTCAGCTCTGGGTGCGCTTTGTGAACTCTGAGGGGCAGGGCTGCATTCACTTCCGAAAACTGGAGAGAATAAAGACAAAGCATCTAGGAAAAGACTGGAATCTGCTCAGACAGGTTCTGGGAATTTGCAGCCTCCCCTCCAGGGTCTTAACGGAGCCCAGAGATGGAGGGCACTAGGACCTGGTATGGAGTTGCCTTTATTCCTAGGAAGGCTGGTTTCTTTTTCTGGGCTAGTGGAGTCTGCAGGGCTGCTTAGTATCTCCCAGGGGCTGCCAGGCAGGGCTTCCCATCCCAGACTCACCTTTGACCTCTCTCCACAGCTCAGGTACCAGATAGCGATGAACAGTTTGTTCCTGATTTCCACTCAGAAAACTGTGAGTCGAGGGCCCTGGGTAAAGGGAATGGGGAGTGGGGAAGGGCAGGAAATGAGTCATAGGGACGGAGAATGACAAAAGATGAACTTGTTCTCTCCTAAAGAAAAGGGTGAAGGGCAGGGTTCCCCATTCTTGAGTTTGGACCCAAAGACCTCGGTTCAAATCGGGGCTTTCTCCATTGAAGCTGTGTGACCTTGGAGCATACACCTCATCTCTCTGATTCTCCCTTTCCTTCCTCCTGAAATGGGGGGCTTGGTCCACGTCTACCATTCTAAGTTACTTTCATACAACCTGGGGGCTATTTTTGCCCTCACCATCCCCTGACATGTGGCGACGTCAGCAGACATTTTTGTTTGCCCCAACAGGAGGTAGATGTTCCTGGCTTCTAGTAGGTAGTGGCTGGGGATGCTGCTCAACACCCTGCAATGCTCAGGAGAGCACCCCCCTCAACAAAAAATTATCTGGCCCAAATGTCAATAGTGCGGCTGTTGAAAAACCCTGCTTTAATGTCAGATACTTTGCTCTCGACGGTCTTCGCCAATGACATGAAACAGGGCACACACATAATCGAAAACAGCAGATAACGGAACGGCCGATTAACAGGCATTTGACCCGACTGCAGTAAGACAGAATCTCACACTGTCGACTTGGAGCCAACTCTTCGCTGCTCTGCATAGTGGCTGGAGTTTGCGGACCCAGCAGGGGCCACAGGAAAGGCCAGTGTTCTTCACAGATAATTAGGAGCATGTGTATAATGTTAGTCAGCTGACGGGCAAGTGGGCTAATATCCAACCTTAACCAGAAAAAGAAAGATTCTTTATAGCCCCAAATAAGAAAACATTTCTTTCCCTTGGAATTTTCCAGAGCGCTCAGGAAAACCACAGGCCCTAGGTTGCAGGTGCTCACCCTGGCAAAGGTTTTTTTTGGGGGTGGGGGCGTGAGGTTGCATTAAATGTTTAACTCTAGACTGTTTCTTTGGTTAATGTTGGACATTTGCCTGATGTATAAAACGATACATAATGTAAATAGCCAAACTTGTTTAAAATGTCTGACTACAAATATCTAAAAACTGAAACCCAGAGAGGGGTGGGGCTGCACCCACTACCCAGCTGGTCCTCAGGGAGCAGAAGGTGTTGGAAGCTCTTACGGCCTTTTCTGTGACACTCGGCCCCCTGCTCTGCCCCCCCTACCCCAATCCCCGCAGTAGCTTTCCACAGCCCCACCACCAGGATCAAGAAGGAGCCCCAGAGTCCCCGCACAGACCCGGCCCTGTCCTGCAGCAGGAAGCCGCCTCTCCCCTACCACCATGGCGAGCAGTGCCTTTATTCCAGGTGAGCCCGGGAAGCCCCAGGAAGGGCAGGACGGAGGCAGGACGGAGGCGCTCCCGAGCAGAGGCAGTGGCTGAGATGCAAGTTAGACAGCAGAAAGGATTTCCACGCCCCTACCAGGGAGCGGGACAGCTCAAGATTTCCTCTGCGTGATCAGGATGAAACCCGCAGCAGGGGGTTCAGGGCGCATGCGTTAAGGCCAGGGCTGAGTTTGTTTCCACTGAAGAAGCCACTGTCCCACCCAACCCAATGGCTCTGGGCTGGAGAGCGGTGTTCTCACAGCTGCACCCAGTTTCAGCTTTTATGAAAGGAGAAGAGTTTGGGGCTGAGTCTGGCTCATGCCATTCCTTTCCCAGCATCCTCTTCTCTTCCTTCCCCTAAAATCCCTGTGCCCTCAGTTTTCTGGGGATGGATGAAGGGTTCAAAGATGCGCGCTCGGCTTCTCTGCTCCCTCACCCCTGTCTCCCCCTCAACTCCAGTGCCTATGACCCTCCTAGACAAATCGCCATCAAGTCCCCTGCCCCTGGTGCCCCCGGACAGTCGCCCCTGCAGCCCTATCCCCGGGCAGAACAACGGACTTTTCTGAGATCCTCCGGCACCTCCCAGCCCCACCCTGGCCATGGGTACCTCGGGGAGCATAGGTAAGGAGAACCCCCAGAATGCAGGCCCAGATCTTGGCAGTTTTTTCTCAGTCCCAGAGTGTTCTGCAGCTGCCCTTAGAAGACCTGGTGTGGTGGGGGGAGGCAGGGAGGAAGGGAAATTGACAGACACCCTCACAGTGGCGCCTACTCTGCAAGCTCTGGGAGTGGCAGGCACAGGGAGGGCTCAATCTAATACTCTTTTCCTTCTCATTCAACCACATCCAGCTCCGTCTTCCAGCAGCCCTTGGATATTTGCCACTCCTTCACATCCTCTCAGGGAGGGGGCCGGGAACCCCTCCCAGCCCCCTACCAACACCAGCTGTCAGAGCCCTGCCCACCCTATACCCAGCAGAGCTTCAAGCAGGAATACCTTGACCCCCTGTATGAACAGCTGGCCATGGGCCAGGGTGGGGTCAATGGGCACAGGTACCCAGGGGCGGGGGTGGTGATCAAACAAGAGCAGACGGACTTCGCCTACGACTCGGGTAAGAGACCCTCCGGGTGGGAGGGGTTGGGGTGAGGTTGCTGAGTGGGGTGACATGGGATAACCCCCAGAACGTCTTTCCAAAAGTTTTTTACCTTCTTATCCTTTTACTAGTTCATAAATCTCATCCATTCCGTTTTTTCATAGCTGCGAAAGAATTGTCGTTTTTCAGTCAGCAAATGTACTCAAATCAATGATAAATGGGATGTAGGTCCTTGCCTGCGAGTAGTATGTGACTTATTAGGAAAGTTAAGGCATTTCTTTCTACGTCTATTTAGCAGGTGTCGGGGGTTTTAATTGCCTACGAATGCCAAAATAGTGTTCGAGAGCATGAATGTGTGCAGTTGGAGGATACAAAAATGAATAAGATGAATAGGCTGTCCTCTGTCCCCACAGACACTTAAAAATACAAAGAGATTTGAATGAAAAGAAACATGAACTTGAAACTAGCCAGGCTCATAGCTTCCACTTGGGAATCAGGGTTAATATGTGGTTTCCACAACCTTGTTCATGCCTAAAAGTTGATGGATGACCCGCCACCCTGGCCAGCGCAGGATACCGGAAGTAGGGACCGCTGTAAATTCTAGTTCCCCCTGGTGCTGACCTGAGTGAGACGGGCTCAGCCATATTCATAAATAGCTGTAGTTCACCGCCCCAAGTGCAGCGGGAGGTCGTCCTCAGTGACTAAGGGCCCAGAGAACCTTGGCTTGTTACATTGTTATGATCCCCACATTTGAGCTGCTATGCAAACTTGCATGAGAAAAATAAATTCAGCGATTTGAGTGGGCTCAGAACTGGCCAGAGCTTTCGAATTTCCCCTTTTTTTTTTTTTGATGCCTAGGCTTTTAGGGGCAAGGGAATGAACCATAAACCCCAAGGCTACCCACCCAGAAGGGTATACCTCTCCTCAACCCCAGGGCATAAGCCTGAGCCACGCCTGGCAGTGAGATGCAGGAAAGGGGAGGGAGACGCTCTTGCTGCTGACCTTCAAAGGATGTAGACCGGAGGAGATCATGTTTCATGCCCTTGAACTCCTGCCCCTCCCCCTTCAGCTTCCTCTGAATGGAGTCAGGAATTCCATTCACAAAATGGTTGCGTGAATGAGCCCACCCTCCCGCCTCCTCCCGGAGGTGTCGGGTTTCACCATCTCATTCATAGGTGGGAGTGGAGGGGGTAGGGCAGAAGGGGGCTGGAACTTGAACGGGTGGCTTCACACCGGCAACCGCCTCCAGGTGGAGCGGGGAGGCTTCAATCCTATGGAATGGAATGAAATGGAGTGGAATGTGCTCTGCTGTCAGACCTGAAAAAAACCGCGGCCCCATGCCCACTGCCACTTCCCAAGATATGGAGACATGGAGTCTCTCCCTCACTGCCCCCCGACTCCGCCTTACCTCCATTCACCCCTCCCTCACACACACACTGGGCAGGGAATCTGACCTGCTGACCGGAGATTAGCCCATTCCAAGGGAGCCTTAGACCCGGACACTGAACCCTTTCCCCGGAGGTTCATCTCTATGCCCCCCTCCTCCCCTTAAACTCACAGGAAACAGCTGCTCCCTGGAATCCTGGGCCTTGTGGAACAGCTTTACCAGCCCCAGCTGCTGCCGTCCCCGCCCTCTGGCCCAGCCCGCACGCTGAGGGGCTCCAGCCTCACACCCACTCTGGGTGAACTTCCCCTGGGACCGGTGGTAGGCAGGCAGCTGGGAACTGAGCAGAAAGGCTGGCAGGAAGTTTGGAACTGTGCGTAGGCCTGCTGCCCCCGTCTCCACCTCAGCCTCCTGTAATGCCTCCGCCCTTCTTCCTCTACCCCCAGATGTCCCTGGGTGTGCGTCAATGTACCTTCACGCAGAGGGTTTCCCTGGACCCTCTCCAGGTGATGGGACCGCGGGTAAGGCAGCCCTCTCCTCCCTGCCGTGGGGGAGGGTCTCCTGGCCAGGAGTCCCTCTGGACACCCTGGGGTCTCATCAGTGAATCCCCAGGCCTGAGTGACCCCCAACTTCCTCCCCCAGGCTATGGCTATGAGAAATCTGTGCGACCATTCCCAGATGATGTCTGTGTTGTCCCTGAGAAATTTGAAGGTCAGAGAAGTGATTTCATGAGGGTCAAGGGGTCTTATCCACACCCCCTGATTGTGTCACCTGGGAATCAGGATACTGCATGAGAAAGGGCCTGGAAAGACTCCTGGGAGAGAAGGTTGCTTGGGGGACCTGAAGGCACAAACCCTGCCCCCCTGTTTGCTGTGTTCCCCAGGAGACATTAAGCAGGAAGGGGTCGGAGCATTCCGAGAGGGACCACCCTACCAGCGCCGGGGTGCCTTGCAGCTGTGGCAGTTTCTGGTGGCCCTGCTAGACGACCCAACAAACGCTCACTTCATTGCCTGGACAGGTCGGGGGATGGAATTCAAACTAATTGAGCCTGAGGAGGTAGGCCTCTCGGATGTCCCTACCGTTCCTCCCAACAGCTTTGGGACCTGGAGATGACAGAACTTGGGAACAAGTGGCATATGTCTTTACCATTGTTGTCACTTTATCTGACCTGAACTCTTATCGAACCTGGGTCTGTGGGCTGGTGCTTAGTTGCAGGACCCGCTTAGCATTTTGCGCTAAGAATCTCAAGGGTGTTTTCTGGCCTGCCCCCCGTTTTTCCTCTGCTGAGCTAGCATCACCACCCCAAAACTCTCCTGTTCCCCCAGGTCGCCAGGCTCTGGGGTATCCAGAAGAACCGGCCGGCCATGAATTACGACAAACTGAGCCGCTCGCTCCGATACTATTATGAGAAAGGCATCATGCAGAAGGTCAGGGGTTAAGGGTTCAGGGACCAAGAGGGTGGGGGCAGGTGGAAGGGTGATGGGGACAGGCAACAGAAGAGCATTCTCAGAGTTTGTGGGAGCAGATTACGAAGCAGTCGGAAGGGACAAGAAATTATGGACAATCCCAAGATTTTTCTGTCCCAAAAAATGGTAAACAGTAACTGAGAAGCATGGAGAGATTGAGATTGGAGATGAACAAGAAAGGGAATTGGCCGGTTAGAGGAACCAGTATTGGAGAGAAACGTACCCCACACTTGAGCCTGGACCCATTCCCCACTCCTCCACGGCCCTGGGGAGAGAGACTGACCCATCCCCTCTCCCTGCAGGTGGCTGGCGAGCGCTATGTGTACAAGTTCGTGTGCGAGCCTGAGGCCCTCTTCTCTCTGGCCTTCCCGGACAATCAGCGTCCCGCTCTCAAGGCCGAGTTTGACAGGCCAGTCAGTGAGGAGGACACAGTTCCTTTGTCCCACTTGGACGAGAGCCCCGCCTACCTCCCAGAGCTGGCTGGCCCTGCCCAGCCCTTTGGCCCCAAGGGTGGCTACTCCTACTAGCCCCTGGCAGCTGCTCCCTTGCCACCTGGGTGGTGTCCTGTGTACATATAGACGAGTTTGGTGTTGGGGAAGCCCTCGCTCTGAAATCCACAGTTGTCTTCGAGCCGACCTACTGGCCCGTCAGTCACCCTGGCACAGGCTCTGAGCTGCTCACCAGAGTCTTTGGGAAGGAAAAGTGGGGACACTGCAAGTTCAAAGGTGGAGTCTCACAAACTCCTAGGGGGTGGTCTCACCTCTGGCCTTTTCCTAGGTCCAGCTTAAAGACCCAAGCCCCACTCCCTCTCCCCTATCACAGAAAACAAGAGTTTGTTCTGGGGGACAAAGAAGGAATGCCCCCACTTCATCCTGGTGGAGAGGGATGCATTGAGCTCCCCAGATCTCCCACTATGGGGGCCAGAAGCCTGGATCCTGCACTCTACTCCAAGCTGTGGCCCGGACGGCCCTGCTTGCTTGCCAGTTCTTGGTGCTCTGTTCCCAGAGGCAGGGGGAGGCTGGAGGAAGAACCCAGGGTGGGGGCGGGTTGCTGGTGGAGGCGGGGAGGGCTGGGTGCCTGCTCGGAGGGCCGTTTGCTCTGCCTGTCCCTAGGTCCAGGCCTGGGGATATCACCTCCACCTCCACCATGTCTGCCAGACCATTAATAAAGGCCCCTGCTTCTCCTGTTTTCCTGTGTCCCGTGCTGCCATTGAAGGGAGGCCTGGGGTTGGAAGGAGCTGGGCCTTGGGGCAGCTGGTCAGAATTTGGGGCCTGACCCTGACACTTAAGTTACCAAATGGGTTCTTGCAAAAAAGACAGTTCCCCTCTGACTTTTCCCTCTGAGAAATGGGCTTAGCAATACCCGCTCTTTTCCCCTCCTGGGATTATTGTGTGAGGGTCCTGAAATCATAGGGTACTTCAAAGTCTAGCCCAGTGCTTTTCGGCTGCTTGCAGCCTGGCTCCTATACCACTGCCCGTTGCGGGGTGCGTGGTTGCTGAGCTGCGAGGCCGCCTGGGGCTTGCTCAGGCAGGGTGTGGCCTGTGGCTTGGCTGACCACAGTTGCTCCCGGGAGCCACACCGCTCACGTGTACCCTGTGTGTCCCCCTCCCCACTCCTGCCAAGGCTCCAGGTGGTTATTTCTGCTGAGGTTGAGGACAAGCGTAGAGAGGATCTGGAGAATGAAAGAAGGCACCCCCAGCATGAGGGTGAAGGGAGACGCAGGAACAAGCCCTGGGTCCTGGGCAGTTTAGGAAAAGGACATGAGATCTCTTGGGGGAAGGGAAGTAGGGGAAGGCACAGATTCTCCCTGCCCGAATCTGGGAGGGACCAGAACCCTGGGGACAAGTTTTCTGGGGGGTGGGTGGGAAAGGCAAGGCTGAAAAAGCGGGGATGTCTAGAGGTGGGAGTGACTGAGTAATTACAACAGAGGGGTAGCTGTGGAGGTAAGAGGGCAGTTGTAGACCCAGCCCTTGTGCACACAGCCTCCCAGAAGCCCCGGGCCCTCCGGAGCAGAGCTGTGCAGAGCCTGCGCCGCCCTCCCCTCATAGATGCCCGCCCCCACTTCCCCCCAAAGGCCCTGCCCAGCACTAACGCTGAGACCTGACAGGCTTCCCAGGGAGGGAGGCCTCTCAACCACTACCCATAAATAAAAAGCAGTGTAGTTTTTTCTTTAAACAAAGCATTAATGTACTGACTTAAAATTTAGAGCAAGGAAAAGAATGTTTTAAAATACAAGATTTTTAAAATATTTAATTCCATGTTAAAGCCAGGCGGTGACAGGGAGGTGTAAAATCTGAGTGGAAAGGGGCCCTGAGTACCAGTCCATGAGGGACAAGGGATTTGGATGAGAAGCAGCATCATGGAAAAGGTCTCCCCAGGCTGAGACATGTGACCTCTGCCCTGTGAAATGTTCATTAACAAGCCGCTCCTCACAACGCTTTGTTCCCAGCCTTTGCCTTGGAGCGGCCCTGCTCGGGAGACATCTGACAGCCAGTGGAGGAAATTCTTTGGGCTGCAGGAGAGGCAGCCAAAACCAAAGCTTGCTCCAGGATGGATGGTGAACCCAGAACCAAGAAGCCTGACCCAGCAGTAGAGCTTAACCGTGCCCCGTGGGGACAGTCCCCCACATACACAAACAAGCACAGACTCAGCACATGTGCAGGGGCAGGAAACTCCTGAGCTAGGCTCCCGCAGGGGCGCAGTGAACAGACTTTAATGGCCAAGAAGATTCCAGCTCCCTGCATGAGACCCACATCCTCTCCTGGGCTGTCACTCAACCTCGGGTAATATTGGTTCAAGGAAGAGGAACAAGGGTTGCATTGTGCGGGCGCAGCAGGCGAGTCCTCCTCCTGAATCTGGCCGGAGGCCCCCTTCTGAGTGGGCCGGGCGATGTGGCCTGTGTGCCGTGTCCTGAGGGACAGCTAGGTCAGACCCCGCCACGCTGTGAGAGCAGAGAAGTGACCCCAGCTGCTAGGGGAGATGTCACGGAACACCCACAGAGCCAGGGCCGCCTTTTTGCGCACCAAATGCAAGAAGATGACGAGCCCTGCCTCTCACCTTGTCTCTCACTGTTAAACATCCCCTCTCAACCTGCCCTTAAAGCCCAAAGCTCCATCTCGAGGGGGTTATGACCTCAGAGGTGCCAATGCCCTCAGTGCTGGTCCCTCAGCAGGGACAGGTGGGCTGCGAAGCCAAGTTTGTCGCTGAGCAAGAGAGACCTGGGCGGGAATTACGGTCGGGGGGCTGGCACGCAGCCCCTGCTACCATCCCAGTTTCCTGTCGGCCCTGTACCGTCTCCTCCCCACAAGGCCTCAGCTGTCAGCACACAAACACCGCCCGCCCCCCGCCCTTAATTACAGGCCTGGGCTTCCTGAGGAGCACACTCAGCTCTAAAGAGGGGTAGGGACCTCAGTCAGCAGACTCCTTGGCCTGTATTCCTCTGCACTGGCTTTTCTGAATTGTGTCTTCAGGGTGATTTGTCTGCCGCCCAATGACAGCCTACATTCCTTCATTTCCTAGAATGTCGTAGTCTCTGAGTGCCTGGTGTGCAGTTCTATGGTAGTTCTAGTATTTACATCATTTCAGAACTGACTAGAATGGGGATGGGGGGAGGCAGTGCGGGCCATAGCATACAGTGCTCTCAATCCCCCAGACACTTCTAAACAAACTTCACATCCACAGCAGCTTTCCAGTCATTCCACAACCCGGCCAGGCAGCATCTGTCTGTTCTTCTTAGTCAAGAGCCTCCTCAAAAACTGGGAGCAAACCACTCAGTGCGAGGCCCAGAGCACAGATGCTGGGCAGCCCGACCTGGCTCAGACAGGTCAGGTGTTGTGCTGGTTTTGTTTGGGGCAGGAGAGGGGAGGCTTCGACCATAAAAACCCTTTGTTAAAAGTCCATCGAGGACCCCAGGGGAAACAAAATAAAATAAAAGCTTTGTTGTTACATGTTTCAAAAGGAAATAGGACACACTGCACGTGGAGTGCGGCGGGCGGGAGAGAGAGCCAGGGAGAGCCTTCGGCAATCAGTATGTGGCATCTGTAAACATGCGGGCGCCCGCCCTGACCTGGGAGCCTGTGCAGTGGGTGTGGTTAATCATGGGGCGACCCACGGCAGGGCTAGCCTGTCACGGGTGCTGAGACAAGACTGGGGGTCTGGGCTGTGCATCACCTCTCAGCCCAAAGAGGCCCTGGGCTCTGGTCTCAGCGGACTCTCCACCACACGCACCGGTGTCACAGATACTAAATCTCCCCACCCTGAGCCCAGGCCAATATCCTAACCTCTTGGCCCAAAGAAACCTTCACAGAAAGCCATTTTTGTTTCCTTAAGAAAATAAATATTTTCAGGAGGTTAATCAAAAGTACAGGGGTTGGACAGGAACAGGAAGTTGGGGCCGACACTTCCAATGAGCTTCACAGCTCCCTCCTCCAGAGAGAACCAACCAGGGCATCGGGGTCCTCACCATGTCCATCTGTCTGTGTGTCCAGGCGTGAGATGCTCATGACCCATTTCCCATCCCAGGGCTGCACAAGTTGCCCCTTTCTTGGAGATGATGCAGTGTCCCCCCATGTTGGCTGCGAGCCCCAGGTGGCCCCAGTGACTTGGGGTAGTGGGGGCTGAGGGCTCTCGTCAACCAGGCATAAATCCATTTCATTTTACCATGAGGGAAAAAACGCAAATCAAGTTTGGAAAATGTCCAGCTAAGATACGCAGTTACTGGACAGCCATACCCTCAGGATCAGCATTTCACCACAAGAATGAGTCCAAGCCCTGGGTCACTGCTGCGGGAGAAGCAAACAAGTCCTGCCCTTCAGCGCCGCCGGAAAGCCCGGGATATTCTCCAGGCGTTGGGCTCCTCATAGCGATTGTACAAGGGTTCAAGACGCTGCTGCTTCTTCTGCTTGCTTAGCTTAGTCGGGTCGGAGACCTTGAAGAAGGCAGGAGCAAACTCCACAAGCCACCGGGGGTCGATGGTTGTGACCTCGCGCATGTACTCCTTCGTGGTCAGCACCAGCTCATGGTACACCACCCTGAATGGGGACAGAGATAGGCTCAAGCCTCCGACACAAGCCCCACTCCAGTCACCATGGTCCCTGGTGGGCCACAGCTGAGCTGGCATTTTACCCTCTAACCTCTCCTGCCTGACCCCTCAAGAGACTGCAATTTCTCTTTATGACAACCATGCTCCAGTACTGAGGAGGCTACGCGCTTCTGATCACAAGAAAGCTGACAGGACAATCTGTTCTAGACCTGGCTCTGGCTCCAACTGGTTAACTGACATAGAGCCAATCATATCACTTCTCTGGACCTCAGTTTCCTGCTCTGTGAAATGGGACGGTAGTTTTTCAGGCTGTCTCCAGAGGACTTAGGGCCCCGAAGAGGAGCCGAGGAGCCTCAGGAGCTGCTGCAAGGAGGTAGGGAAAGCCAAGCAGGCCGGGCTCTACCTCTCCATCCCTTTACCATGGTGGCCCAGCAGTTTTAAATCAGTTTTACATTAGTGTAGGTAAGATTACACTTTTTAAAAAATGCTATTTGAAAAAATAATTTTTTAAACAACCTCACTAAATGATCTGTAAGATCCTTCTTAGCTCTCACTCCCATGATTTTATTTCTCTCAAAAGGGTCCCACTGTGCCTAATTCAGGTTTCTGCCGCCCTAGAAATACACGCCATGTTAGAACAGGAAGTGCTGGGGGTGGGTGAAGACACAAACACAAAATACCAATAGATTTACAGGTTCTCTCTGCAGAGAACAGCTCCCAGATCTGGGCTTGCCCACCTACCATTCCGGTTGTCTGTTGAAGAGGGCACTGGAAGGGTGGATGTAGACCACCTGCTGGTCGATCAGTGTCCGGTAGCCCTCCTGCGGGTCTTTCTTGGCGGCGTTTCGGAAGAATCCACTGCAGATGGCCTTCTGCACTCGGACTGTGGACTTACCACAGGACACCACATCTAGCTTGTGTCTATCAGGAAAACAAATAAGAGGACAAAGTTGTGAGACAACTGTTTTCAGAGGTTCCATCTTGCAGAGTGATGGTGCCCAACACCTCCATCTCGGGTCCCCAGGGTAGGAACCAGGACCTTTCATCAGGCCCTAAGTGTATTATAGGGCAGCCCTGCCCAGTGAGCAAGATAGACACAATAAGAGCCAGAGACTTATCCAATTTGACTAAGAATATTCCAGATGCTTGTAAACAAAGTTTTTTTCCAAAAATAAATCATCACCTTCCCCTCAGGAACTTTCTGAAGTGATTCCCACCTGTACCCTTGCATGGGAAGGAATATAACAAAGATGGAAAAGCTGGAGGAAAGCATTATGCAATGAGTCGATGGCTCCACAGGTACATACAGCGATGAACAGACATGAATGACATTCAAGGAAGTTCAACTCAAATGTGGGAAAAGACACCAGATGTTACCTGTCCATTATGCCTAACATCTGCTTGCGAATGTCCTGGGCCCGGCGCAGAGAGCGGGCCTGGATAAAATTCTCGTAGCACCATGGGTTGGAGAACTTGTTGTTCTTCCAAGAGTTGTACACAGCCAGCAGGGTGAGGTGGTCTCCTTCGGTCTGGTGGAATTTGGCCTTCTTCTGATCAGCGAGCGCTTGTTTATCCTGCCAAACGGTGGGGGGAAAAGATCCTTTTCCATCCAGCAGCTACTAATTGAACATCCAGCAGTTGCGAGGAGCCCCACATGACCCTGTCAAGCATCGGCAATGACTGATGTCACCCAACCTAGCCACATCCTGACCTGAACTCCCTACCTTGGGCCTGTAGAAGACGTTCTGCACAGACAGCATGGACACGATGGTCAGCATTTCCTCACTGCAGCCCAAATGCACAGACATGATCAGCATTTTGCACAGCATTGGTTCCAGGGGGAATTCTGCCATCTAGTGGGAGAAGAAGAAAACTACAATTTCTTCCTTCTGGAAAGTCCTTCTGGACTTGCCAGTATGAGACACTGGTCAGAGTGGTCAATAGCCCACAGCAGGTTTACCCAAGCATGTGAGATGCCCATCTCTATCAGAAGATGATGATGTTTTTTATTTCCCAAAGAAATCCCAATGAAAGATACCTATATGACCAAGAACTTAACTACTGTTGTGGTAGGTAGAGACTTTGCAGACATCTTTTAAAATTAAGACCAGACTCGCCCTGGCTGGGTAGCTCAGTTGGTTTGAGCATCAACCCAATACGCCAAGGTTGTGTGGGTTTGATCACTGGTCAGGTCACACAGGAGACTTAATCAATGAATGCATAAATGAGTGGGACAAGCTGATGTTTCTCTCTCCCTCTCTCTCTCTCTCTCAAATCAATTTTTAAAAAGTTAAGGCTAGACTCAGTAATCTATCCTAAGGTCAAATTGTGGATAAAACTTCTTTTTCTGTAAAGAAACAGTTTTAAGTGACAGTGGAAAATCCAAGTTAAAACAGGTACCTAGAATTGTACTCAAAGCTTATCCAGAGCCCTAGAGCTTGATTTTGCACAAAACAAAAAAGTGTGGAAGACTGCCCAGCAAATCTTCCCAAAAGCACAGGAAGTGTGTCCTTTACCCTGCGGCCCAGGCGAGTAAGCAGTCCCTCATCATCCAGTGCCCCCAGCGTATACAGCTGCTCCATGGCTGTGATCAAGGTTTCCATTGGTGGGGCATCCATGAAGTCAAAGGACAGCAAGTCATTGATGCCCATGGCCTAGAACAGAAGGGAAGAAAGTGTGTGATGGGAGGGTCAGCCTCGCAGTGTTAACATGGAGAGACTCCTTATCCCTTTCTTTCCTGTTTCTTCAACTGCAATCAGGAAGCCATCAGCAAGGGAAGCAGCAACCTCAAGGGCTGGGCCACACAAAACTCAGACTAGTAGAGAGCATGTATTTTCTTAGGAAACTTCAAAAAACAGTCTCTCAAAATGATAGTACATACAACTCAACAACGAAAAGACAATTAGCCCTGACCAGGTGGCTCAGTTGGTTGGAGCATCATTCACCAAAAGGCTGCGGGTCTGATTCCCGGTCAGGGTGTATGTATATTGGAGGTAACTGATAGAAGATTCTCTCTCTCCCTCTGTCCCTTCCCCTCTCTCCAAAATCAGTAGACAAATAAAATCAATAAACATATCCTCAGGTGAGGGTTTAAAAAAAGACAACAATTTAAAAACTGGCAAAGGACCTGAAATACCCATTTCTACAAAGATATAAAAATGGTCAAAAAGTACATGAAAAGATACTCATCACAATGAGTAATTAGCAAAACGCAAATGAAAATCACAATGAGATACTACTTCATATCACTAGGATGGTTATTTAAAAAAAAAAAAAAAAAAGACACCAAGTGTTGGCAAGGATTTGGAGAAACAGGAATCCTCATATATTGCTGGTGGGAATGTAAAATACTGCAGCCAATGTGGAAAACATTTTGGTGATTCCTCCATAAGTTAATCATAGAATCATCATTATTATCCAGCAATTCCACTTCCAGATATATATACCCAAAAGAATTGCAAGCAGAGTTTCAAACAGATATTGTACACTAATGTTCACAGCAGCATTATTCACAATAGCCAAAAGGTAAACACCACCCAAGTATCCATCAATAGATGAATGGACAAACAAAATATGGTATAAACATGCAATGGAATATTATTCACTTTTAAAAAGTAATGGAATTCTAACACATACAATATGATGAACCCTAAAAATATTACGTTAAATTAAATAAGCCAGATACAAAAGGACAGTGTTTGATTCCACTTATATGAGGTAAATTAATAGAAACAGAAAGTAGAATAATGATTCCCAGCAGCTGGAGGGAGGGAGAAAGGGACAGGTTAGTTTAATGGGCACTGAGTTTCTGTCTGGGATGATGAAAAAGTTCTGGAGATGCGTAACACTGACGGCTGCACAACACTGTGAACATACCTAACACCACTGAATTCGCAGTTTAAAAAGGTAATAATGGTAATGTGTTGTGTATTTCACCACAATTTAAAAAAATAAGACAATACACCAGCTTGTCCTACCTCTTGCACACATAATACACTTCCTACTCTGCATTTGGAAGTGTCCTGTACCATATTCAGTGGCAGGGAGATGAAGATGACTAAGATACTGTCCCTGCTCTCAAAGAATTTATAATGGTGACACACATGGACACAAAACCACGACAACGCAGTAGAATCTGCATGCCTGGTACAAAGTAAGCAATCAATACATTTGTTAGCTAATTTGATGGATAAAAGAAATAAACGAATAATGCACTATCCCAGTGTATACATAGGGTGATGTGGCAGGACCTAAGCTTTCTGTGTCTTTCCCATGAACTGATCATAACTATAAACACAGCAGGTGTTCAAGTTTATTGTATGAATAATAACTACAAGGAATGATGTTGGCAATCAGTAAGCACTGTGCCAAGTGTCTTTACCTGTATTATCTCCTTTATCTTCACAACAGATACTATTAACAGCACCCCCTTCTGAGAGGAGAATACAGAACAGAGGGCCGACCAGGTAAATTGGCCAAGGACACACAGCGTAGAACAGAGGTCTGAGCCACAGATGTCTCTCTGTTCTCACTCCAGAGAGTGGAGCAAGTTTTTTTCTGAAGCTCTGTTGCAGCCTCTCTTACAGGGAATGAATAATAAATTACAGCAGAGCAGTCTGCACCAGTAGAGTGCTAGGGCTCCAGGGTAGCATCAGTGTCGGGGGCGGGAGGAAAGGGGGGGGTGCCATCATCTGGAAAATTACTCTTGTGGCTCCCCCTGCCAAAGGAGAATGAAGGTCCTCACTGGGGACTGAGAGAGGAAGAGCAATGATTCAGAATGAAAACCAAGACCCCAGAGGGCCAGTCTGAAACCTCTACTGATACCAAGTTTTTGGACTGAGAGTTTTGCTTCCGTTCTAAAAGAACAGAATGGTATCTGACAGCCAAAGGGATGAAGGAAGTGTGTTTGTCCAGTTTGGCACTGATTAGATTTTTCTAATATCCTTTTAGAAAATGCTCCTAATGAAAATCTTTCATAATCAAACATTCTGCTGGTTATTACGGTAAGGGAAAAAAATGTGTGTTCATAGCAGACATGCCAACTTGGCCCCAGACCAACAGTGGAAGGCTGTTATCACAACCATTTGCATTCCACTCAAAGGGACTGGTTCTGTGGAGTTACTGAAGTATTTAACAAGGTTCATAATATTGAGATTCATTTACTAATGCCACAGGATTGGACTGGTTTACCCATTCTAGAAAAACAGTGATTTCTACCTTGAGCGACAGCACTGTGCTTGCTAAGTTGGTTCTCTGGATTTCCGGCACGTTTGTGGTCAGCATTTCATCTCGGTAGGCACGCTCTGTGTACAGCCTGTAGCACTTCCCTGGGCCTGTTCTCCCAGCTCTGCCAGCTCGTTGCTTTGCCTGAGCCTAGAGGGGTGTGCATAGAAAATTAACATATCTGTTAAACATTGTTTAACTGCCTTACCCAGGAAATCCGTTAAAAGAGGGGCACTTAACTACCGACAAAATCCAAAATAGGGTTTATTTCACTTCCTTTAGGACCATTTCCAAGACTACCAAGGTTATTATCATTCCCTCTCCAACACTCAACATTTCAGGAGAGTGTGTTCAAGTGAAACAAATACAGAAGGAAAATAGAAGAAATATTATAAAGATCATAGAAATATGCCCTCAAAATAGTGTGGCATGACATAAAAGACAAAGCATAAAACAAGAAGACAAATGCTACTTCCACAGTTACAGCCAAAAATTTAAGTGAGCTAAATAAAATAGTCGTCATCATATACCAATGACAACCGCAGCCATTTTAAAAATCAAGTTTGAGATGCTCAATGCCAGAAGGAAATGTTCACTCACACAGGAGAGAAAAAAGCAAGTTATAAAACAATATTGATTTTGTAAAAAAAACCTTTATGATATAGTATAAACTACCAGAAGGAAAAACCTAGGCAAAAATACCCTAAAATGTTAACTGTGGCTAACTCTGGCAGTAGGCTTGCAGATAGGTTCTATTTTCTTTACTTCATCAATATCCGATATTGAACACTATTACTTTAATAATCAGGAAAATTAAATACTTAAACAAAAATATTCAAGACACACTTACCAGACTCCTGGAATTACCACCATGAAAAAAACAAACAGGAAAAAGGACAGGCTAGAGAAATATTAAAATGATGACAGTGGTGATAGCATTATGGGTAAATTGTTTTCTATTTCTCAAAAATAATGTAATATTACTTCTGTACTTAGGGGGAGGGGTACTAATTTTTAAAATTAAAAAGATTGCCCTGCCTGGTGTGGCTCAGTGGACTGAGTGCTGGCCTGCGGGTCATCGGTTCAATTCACAGTCTGGGCACATGACATAAAATTTTAAACAGTTTCTTAAATATACATGTAATTTAGCCACAGGCTGCTAGAAAACACTGAATAGCAATCTGGAGAGCCAGTTTTTGACAAAACCATCTGTCTTACAAACAGTATCAGGATTTACAAATTCTTATGCCAGCTCCAAACAAAGGATGTCATGTGAAAGGTCACTAGCCGCACAAACGCGGGCAGCAATCACACACGGTGGCAGACCCCACAGCATTATCAACAGAGGTCTTTCCAAATCAGAGAGGAATTAATTTCTCTACCACTGTGAGTTGCCTGCACTACCCCAAGAAGTGCTACAGAGCACACACTGGGGCCAGCCTGCTCAGGTTCAAATCCTGACTCCACAGCTGTGTGACCTTAGGCCCTCTGTGCATCAGTCTCCCCTGCGAAATGAGGATGGTAATACTACCTACCATTAAGTAGCAACATGACCTGCAGATGAGAGGGACACAGCTGGATGGAGCTAACCAGGTTCAGTACTAAGGTGTAAGACAGGACTCCTGAACTCAGTGAGTGTATGTAAGTGAAAGCACCTAGGGACAGTGCCTGATAAGGCACCTAGGAGGTACCCTGCAGGAGTTAGCTGCTACTACTTACGTTTCAAAATGAAAATAGCCTGATGGTTTTCATAAATTATGAAAGTAATCCATGCCTCTTATAATACTAAAACAATATATAAAAGCATAAAGAAAAAAAATGCACTACACCCATCAGCACAGTAACCAGCAGCGCCACTGAGAAATAACCTCGGCTTTTTGATTATGTGCTTTCAGGTCGCAGGTGGATTCACATACACGTGCACCAGCACACACCATCCATTTTTAAACAAAAATCGCATTATACTATTCCTGCTTTTTTGTAGTTCACTTTTCAAAAAATATATCACAGTTATATGTTTACCTCATTAAATATAGAAACACACCACCATGTTAATGCCACATTACATTGCATGGCTTGGATATACCATGTTTTATTAAACAAATTCCTTTTGAGGGAATTTTTCCAGGTTTCTTCTAATATAAACAGTACTTCAATGAACATTCTTTTGCATTACCTTTAGATACCTATTCAGCTATGTCTAACTTTCAGATATATTGGAACTGTTAGGTTAAGGAGGTGACCTTTAACAGATCTTTATCAGATTTTTGATACATTGTGGCCAAACTGCCCTCGAAAAAGGATAAGCAGGTTTTTTTTTTTTTAAGATTTTATTTATTTATTTATTTATTTTTAGAGAGAGGGGAAGGGAAGGAGAAAGAGAGGGAGAGACTACAATGTGTGGTTGCCTCTCACGTATCCCCATCCGGGGACCTGGCCCGCAACCCAGTCGTGTGCCCTGGCTGGGAATGAAACCGGTGACCCTTTGGTTCGCAGGCTGGTGCTCAATCCACTGAGCTACACCAGCCAGGGCTGGGTGGTTATTTAAATTTTTAAATATAATTTAGGCAGAAAATTATTCCATAATTACTAAAGAAACACATTATCATCTCATAAATTATTACTATCTCAAATATCTCTGGCTAAATACAATACTTAAAAAATATGTTCTTACTGCCCTAGCCGGTGTGGCTCAGTGGGCTGAATGCCAACCAGCAAACCAAAAGGTCACTGGTTCACAGGGCACATGCCTGGGTTGTGGGCTGGGTCCCCAGTAGGGGCCGTGTGAAAGGCAACCACATACTGATGTTTCCCTCTTTCTCCCTCCCATCCCCTCTCTCTAAAAATAAATAAATAAATAAAACCTTTTAAAAATACATATGTCCGTCCGTACTATGTATATTCAATAACCTGTGGTGCTAGGATTCAAAACTCTTTTTTAAGTTCAAATTTTACAGGGCTTTTTAATGTTGAAACACTATTCTAAAGATTAAAAACAATACAAAATCTTCCTTATCTCACAAAAGCACCCAGTATATTAAAACTTCATTTTTAAAAACAATAAAGTTCAAAATACAAAACCAAAAATATTTCAGAAAGGCCCAAACCAGGATTTTCAGGAAAGCTGTTGGTAGAAGCTACCATACCTGAGAAATAGGAGTCACCACAAGCTGGTCGATTCCTGTCTTGGAATTGTAAACTTTCTGCTTCACAAATCCAGGGTCCACCACATAGTAGATGCCATCGATAGTCAGTGATGTCTCTGCAATGTTGGTGGCAATCACGACCTGCAGATGAGAGGGACACAGCTGGATTGATCTAACCAGGTTCAGCCCCGAGGTATGAAACAGGACTTCTGAACTCAAACATTTTCCCAAAGGAGTGTGCAGCCATTAGTCTCCTCTTCCAGAAGATTAGATAGCACTCTCGGTTTGGCTGCAAATGGGTGAAGGGGATGTGCCTTCCTCTTAAGGGTTAGCTTGAGGGGGCGGGGTGGATGGGGGGTCGTACCTAACAGAAAAGGTGGAACTGGAAAAAGCAAAGGCCAATCAAAGCCAATTTCATTTGGTGCAAATGGCTACATATCTCATTTTCTAGATCCAATGTTGATTACTACAATTTTAATTTTCCAGCACCCTGGGCAAGCAGAGACTTCCTGGCATCACATGTGCCAGTGCAAAACGAGATTTTTCTTCCCCCACGGGGACATCTGGACTACAAAATGGGCTGTGTGTATATGTGGAACAAGGGGGAGTTGTTTTTTTTCCCTAATCATAAAATGAACCACAAGGCAGCAAAGGGATTTCACGGTTTGTGTGCATGCAGCAGTGTATGTGATCTAGGAGATTATTGGTCTCAGCTTGGCACTGCCACTGCTCTTCCACCCAGAGGTTCGGCTAATAAAACACAATTGCTTGGAAAAATCATTGCTAGGAGACACCAGGATATCTTGCATCACGCCAGCACTGTACAGGCCCCGAGAGGCTTCTACCTGCCTCAGAGCGACAGAGCCCTCTCAAAAAGAAGTCTAATCATCAGAAACAAACACAGAGGAATCACCATCCTTCTCCCCCAAACCCCTCCTCCTCCTCCATGATTCCCTCCTCAGCACCATCCTCCTTCCAGCTGCCCACAAACCAGCAACCTGGGAGCCATTCCTGACCTCTCCCCACCCTTTCCCCCTACACTTCCAGGCATCCACTGTGCCTTGTCCAGTCTAACTCTTTAATGTTATTCAAACCCATCTGTCATCCATTCCTAAGGAAATGAAAACATACATATGCACACAAACTTGAAAATAAATGTCCATGGCAGCATTATTCATAGTAGCTAAAATGTGCAAACAACCCAAATGTCCATCAACTGATGAATGGGTAGACAAAATGTGGTACGTCCGTATTTTGGATGTAGAATATTCTACAATAGAATATTATTTGACAATAGAAAGAAATGAAGTACTTATATATGCTACAACATGGGTGAATCTTGAAAACGTGCTATGTCAAAGAAGCTAGTTACCAAGCACCACGTATATATGATCCCACTTACATGAAATGTTCAGAATAGGTAAATCGATAGAGACAGGAAGTTGATTAGTGGTTTCCAGAGGCTGAGCAGAAGGGTAAATGGAGAGTGACTGCTAAAGGGTACAGGGTTTCTTTTGGGGGTGATGAAATTGTTCTATAATTATAGTGATTAATGGTTAATCATTAATTAATAATGGTAATTAATGACTGCACAATTCTGTGAATATACTCAATTGTATAAAGGGGTAAAGTATGGTATGTAAATTATATCTCAAGAAAGCTGTAACTTAGAATTAAATCCATGTCTCCTTTGCCATCGCTTGATATTCACACACCGTCAGTTCCAGCTACTGGAACTACACAGCTCCCTGCAATGGCCGCACTCTCTCGCCTCTAGGCTATCACGGGCTATTCTGTCTACTCAGAGCATACGTCCTCCTGCTCTTCTTGTTTAGATGGGCAGGAGGACATATGTTCTTCAAGACTAGCCTAGAGTGTTACTTCCTCTAAGAATACTGGGTTGGGCGCCTGCTCAGGGTACCCGGAGCACCAGTAGCACTTTCACACTGTACATTAAAGGCCTGTGCACTGGTGGATGCCTCACAGTGAGGAGAGGCCAGGCCTCAGACTGCTGCCCTGGTGTCTACTCCAAAGCCTGCAAGATGCTCAAAAACATCTGTCAAATGAAAGAAAGGAGAAGAGGAACAATGGTCACACACAAAACCCTCATTTCTTAACAAAGTGGCTGAACCAGTCTCTAAAACATACTAAGCAAGACTCACACATGTCTAGGCAATCCCAGTCGGGCCAGCTGCATGCACCACACGGTTTCAGAACACAAGGCAGCCTCCCTTCTGCCCAGGGTTACCTTTCTGCTGCCGGGTGGAGCTGGGTCAAAGATTCGGGTCTGCATCTCACTGGGGAGGGCAGAATACACTGGGAGGATAATCAGCTCTGGAACGTCAGGTCCCAGGGATTTCATCCTCTCGTACAGGATCTCACAGGCGGTGTCGATCTCTTCCTGCCCCGTCAGGAAGACTAGGATGTCCCCTAACAAGAGAGCGGGAGCATTAACGTACTTTCTGTGTGTGTGTTCTATACAAAGGCCACAGTGACATTAACAGACTCCAAATGACAGGAAACACACTCAAATTCCAAGCTCTAAAAAATCAAGAGGTTTTCATCTGTCCTTGTTTACTCTGTTATTTATAATTTGTGTCTATGTTTAAATAGGTACATTTCAACCCTGCACACCATTATTTACATTTTCACCACTATCATTTCAAACATGCAAGCCTAATATACTACTTCAAAGGCATTTTTAAAAAGCTGAGTGAAAAAGACGCCCACATCAGGACCTTTACCCTAAGAGGAAACCATGCTCTCCCCTCACCTGGTGGCTCCGTTAAATGGATCTGCATCACAGTGATCAAGCTGGCGTCCAGATAATCCGTCTCAGGCTCCTTTGTGTACAGTATTTCCACTGGGTATGTGCGACCGGGGATGGTGAAGATGGGGGCTTCATAGAAGTACTGGGAAAACTTCACTGCATCCAAGGTAGCTGAGGTGACAATCAGCTTCATGTCCTGCCGTTTCTGAACTGTCTAAAAGGAAATGTGATGTGCCTTACTGAAAAGGACTACCCAAAAAGACACAGGTCCAATTCCCAGAATTCAGCTGCCAACAGCTAGAAGAGTCACCAAAGAGCACCCAGTTACCTTCTTCAACAGTCCAAAGAGCACGTCCGTGTGGATCGTTCTCTCGTGCGCCTCGTCCAGCATGATGATTGCGTACTGCGTGAGGTCAGGGTCGATCAGGCACTCTCGGAGCAACATGCCGTCTGTCATGTACTTGATGACGGTTTCAGGGCTGGTACAGTCCTCAAATCGAATGGTGTAACCCACCTAAAGCAGAACAGAAGTCAAAAACCTTAGACACAAACCTCTCATCTGTGCAATCACCAGACAAGATTTCAGCCCAGTGAGACCATTTACCCATAACCTTAATAGACAAGAATTTAACCACGATGTAGAGTGATTTCCTCACAATAAAATCAACTTTGGACTTGACCCTAAGCAGATCAATGATGACAATGAGAACCCTCTCTCCCTAAGGAGAAATCTGGAAAGGTCACTTTACCAGCATTTTACTGGATAGAGATCTGTGCCTTTACCCTTTCTTCAGGCACTTACAGAACAGCTTCACTACCCCTTACCTCTTGGCCTAAGCAACAACCAAACTCCTCTGACACTCTTTTGGCCACTGACATGGCTGCCACTCTTCTGGGCTGGGTACATCCAATCTTGCCCCTGGAAGTGTAGCCTGCCTCCGCCAGGTACTGGGTGATCTGTGTTGTCTTCCCAGATCCTGTCTCTCCAATAACGATCAGGATCTGATTGTCATGGACGGCCTGAAAGCAACAGAATGCGGATATGGTTATTAACATTTGCCGCACATTACTCTAGAATAAAATAATGCTTATGTTCTAACACTAAAGGAGAAAAATGGGACACAATAGTACACATATAATAAAATTACAACCAGGGTTTAAATTATTTTAATCATGCATAGAAAAAAATACTGCCCTGGCTGGTGTGGCACAGTAGATTGAGGGATGGCCTGCGACCTCAAAGGTTGCTGGTTCGATTCCCAGTCAGGGCACATGCCTGGGCTGCAGGCCAGGTCCCCAGTTGGGGGCTTGCAAGAGGCAACGGATTGATATGTAATATATCTCTCGCACATAAATGTTTCTCTCCCTCCCTTCCCCTCTCTCTAAAAATAAAATAAATAAAACCTTTAAAAAAAAATACTAATGATTTTTCTGTGCGCAATGATCTTTATTTTAATTGCATGCATAACTTAAATTTAAAACATTAAACTTTATGGGTACTCTGTTTTCAACTGACTCAAATTTATATATTCTTTAATTTACTGGTTTTCTTAGATTGATAAAAACATAAAGAGGATGCTAAAAGCATAAACTATCACCCAGATCTCCCTAATATATGCATACAATTTTTTTGAAGTATTACATGCACATGGTTAAAAAGCTCGACACTAAATAAAAAGGTATAGATGGTATTCCTTTTCACTGTCACTCCCAAACCTCCAGTGCCAAACCAACAGTCCTCTCATTTTTACACTGTTTATAACAGCAAAGGACTTCCATCAACCTACATGCCTACTAATATAGGACTACTTAAATAAGTCAGAGCACATCTACATAACAAAGCACTAAAAATAATAATAAGGAACAATTTCTGAGCTATGTCATTAAGGGAAAAAAGCAAGATGCAGAAGAGAGTATATAACATGCTACCATCTAGAAATACACAGTACCTATAAAACATACAATGTCTGTGTGTACACATACATATTTACTCACATACATACATACGTATGACATTGTTGAAAGGATTCACTGGAAACTAGTCAACTCAGTTGCCTGAGGAAACGTGGCGGTCTTAAAATCAGACTTCCAGAAAATGGAAATAAGTACCTGAAACAAAGTCTCACCTCTACGGGATCACTGGCTGCCTCCCCCAACCCTTTTTTCTCACTGACTAGAGCTGTTGGTCTGTGCAACACAATACTCTGTCCACTCAGAGCTGCTCTAGGGTCCCCCAGTTCAAACAGGTTTATTTCCACACATAGGAATAAAATGTGTAGTGTAATATATATATATATTTTTTATAAGTACTTGGAAACGTTCAGTTGTTTTCCCTATCCCCTTTGGAAAAGCCACTTTAAACGTGCACACATCTGTCCAGCTAATTTCAATTAAAATTTGTCACCCTTCTCTTAGAAAAGCCCCTTATTCCCCGACCACTTCTTACCTGGACCAACTGCTCCTTCAGTTTGTAGATGGGTAGGCTCTCTCTCTGCTCAATAATTGACATCTGGGTCTTTTTTCCATAAGAAGCTTTGTTGCCCCCAAAGGCATGCTTCTTCCACTCTGGAATGTCATTGGGCATCATCCCAATACCCCTCATGTTGGCCGCAATCTGCCTGCCTTCCGCTGCAAAGGAAACAAGCCACTCATTGTTGTCCTCAGGCTGCCCCACTGCCCCCTCCTCCACAGTCAACAAATCAGATTTCCCCAGCACATCCCCGCTTTGTTAGCTCCGTATCCAAGCTACCATCCGCTCCCCCTCCGGACTATTACTATAAAAGCCTCCTGACTCGTCCCGTGTGCCACCTCCAACCCATTCTACAGCGCACCCTCAAAACCCTTTGGAAATGCAACTCTGATCACGTCACACCCCTGCTTAGAACTCTGCAACATTTCCCAGTGAACTTCAGCATTGAGCCCCGATTCCTAGTACCATCCACAAAGTCCTGGCCTTCCACGCCTCGCCCCCCACCACTCACCCATCTCTCTCTGTATTCCAGCCACACAGGTCTTCTTTCCCACCTCACAGCCCCAGCACAGGCTATTCCTCAGCCGAGAACACATTCCCTAACCCCTGCCCCATCCCTTTTAACAGGCTAAGTCCTATCTACTCTTCGGTTTGCAACTTTCCCAGGGAACTGACCCACCACAGCCAACTACATTACTGGTACTTCCTCAAATAGTATTAGTCATGGTTTAGTTAGTTATTTGGTAATTATTTGACAAGTATAATCTTTCCCACTAAACTGTAAGCCTCATAAACTAAGAATGATGTCTAATGCACAGCTGTATCCTCAGCTGCCTAACATAAACTAAAAAAAACACTTGTTATAGCTGCATTTACCAGCAGTTAATATTTATTGTACAAAGAATTAAGTGAAACGGGAAGTTTCAAAGTTGTATACTATTTTTAAGTTATTCAGAAGAAAAAGTCAGCCAGTCTAATAAATTGACTGGGATTACTAAAACATTTTTGACTTTAAACATTTGTTTAAAAAATAGCCCTGGCTGGTGTGGCTCGGTGCATTGAGCACCAGCCTGCAAACCAAAAGGACACCAGTTGATTCCCAGTCGGGGCACATGCCTGGGTTGTGGGCCAGGTCCCCAGTTGGGAGTGTATGAGAGGCAACTGATCAATGTTTCTCTCCCTCTCTCTCTCCTTCCCTTATCCTCTCTTTAAAAATATACATACATAAATAAATAATAACATTTTAAAACATGCTTTAACTGAAGAGAAAAAGCAAATCCCCAATGCCAAGGCTGAACCTTTAGTTACGTGCCAGTCGTGTCCCTTCTGTGTACCTGAAGGGCCAGGGTTGTTTTTAAGCCTCCACCCCCACTCCTAGGGTCCTACCATCAGGCAGAGGATCAACCCAATGTTTGTTGAGTCCCATGGGAATAGAGTCCATCTCGGCTTCCCGCTGGGCCTGCTTGAGTTCCCGTCTTTCTTTGGCCAAGGCACTCTGCATCATAGCTGCTTGGGAGAGGGAGCCATCTGGGTTCTAGTGCAACAGAGGACAAAGCAGCAACATCAGAATGGGGCCTCAGCACACAATGAATGTCCAGGAAATAAAATGTAGATGTTAAACCATTTGAATCTAAAGAATGAGGCCCATCTATAAGAAAGTTCATATCAACTTACCAGACTGCATGAAAGAAGTAAATTGTAGCAAACTGAAGACAATGATAAAGCACTAAAGAAACTGAGGAGGTTGGCTTAAAGATGAGAACCCCAAGAGAGATGGGACATACAGGAAAGGGGTAAAAATTCTTCTGTATGGACCAAGAACTAAAATGAAGACCAGTGCAGACACTTTACTAAGATAGATTTCAGTGCTACCTAAAGAAGAACTAATGATCAGATCTATCTGAAGATGGAACAAATCTCCTTAAGGGCTGGTGAATTCTCTGTCACCAACAATGTCAAAAAGAAGACCACAGGGAGGAACACTGGAGAAGGGTACATGACTGAATATAAGAACTGAATGAGTGAGTGGGCTGAAACACCTTTAAGATACCCCTGTTCCAAACCTAAAATTTTATCTTCTCCTCACAGCTCTGGCCTCCGCCCAGTGCCACAGCTATTAGGGGCCAGCAACAATTGGTAAAGTAAACCCTTCCAAATTGCCTGGCATACGCGAGGTAATGATTCAAGCCCTAAGGCTGGGGGAAAAGCCATGATGATGGATCAAGCACACATTCACCTCTGCTTCCTCCCCCAAAAAACACTAACATTAGAGTAAAATAGTTAAAAAGGCAAAAGCAACAAAGCAGAGTCAATATCTCTTTAAAACAAAAATATTCTAGACCCTGATCAACAGTCAGTACTACCTCGTGTGGCCTGAGTTCTGTTTATAGAACCTGCTCTGAAAAATAGAACTATTACGTTAAGAAAAGTTCAGGTGATAAATCCAGATTAGAGTCCCAGCATTTCTTACCTTAACGATTTTAATAGGGCTCATATCCATGCTTTGCTTGGTGTGCCCTCTCAGGAATGGAGGCTCTTCCTCAACCAGTTCAATCTCAAGGTCCTCATCTAAAAGTCCCCGCAAGAAGAATTTACCAAAAACAAAAGAAGTGACCAATTATTTTCACCAAAATAATTAATTTCCATACGCATCAGCAATCTTTATCAAAGTTAGCTCCCCAAGTCAAAAGTACAGCAATGCAAGTAAAACCCTAACACCGGCGTCTGTTCCCCCTGCTCTCCAGCCACTTCTAAAGCATTTGTTCTCCAACCCAAGAACTCAAGAGCTAATCAGAGCTACTTTCGAAAGAAGTTAAGCCTGTGGAAAAATGCAGGTCTGATATTCTAGTTGGTACTAAGGCATGTGCCATCGAACTTCACTATAGAGTTTATTCTTGCCCTGGCCAGGTATCTCAGCTGGTTAGTGTCGTCCCAATATGCCAAGTTTGCAGGTTCAATCCCTCGTCAGGGAGCATGCAAGAATCAACCAATGAATGCATATGTAAATGGAACAACAAATCGATGTTTCTCTTTCTCTGTCTCCTTTCCTCTCTCTCTCTCTCTCTAAAACCAATAAAAAATAATAATAAATAGAGTTTATTCTTAACCCACAATAGAGTGGCAAAAAAAAAAAAATTAAATTGGGCAATGGGATAATACCAAATGCTGGTAAAAATGTGGAGCAATAGGAACTCACCCACACTTACAGCAGAAATGTAAATCGGTACAAAAACTTTAGAAAACAACTTGGACTGCCTGGTAAAGCTGGACATGCACATTTCCTCCTACCCAGGGATTCTCCTACATATTTAGGAAAAGAAGAAGGTCTTGCATATGTGCATTAAGAGACAAATAAAGGAATTTTTTTAAAGGAATTTTATAACTAGTATTATTTATAAAGGTAAACAAAAACCCAAAAACAGCCCATATTCCATCAAAAATAAAATGGATAAATTATGGTAAATTTATATACAGCAACACTCCACAGCAATGAAAATGAATGAAATACAACTATAAAATCAACACAGATAAATATCAAAAGAATGATAATGAATCAAAAAAGTTAAAAAACAGACTAATGTTTAGGGATAAATATATAGATGGTAAAACACGAAAGAAAAGTAGAAATGATTAACACAGTATTTAGGATGTGCTTACACAGAGGAGTAAGGAGAATGATCAAATCAGGAGGCATGTAGGAGCTTCAAAGATGCTGGTAAAGCTTGACTTACTGGTAGGTATGCAGATATTCACTTAGGTGTTTGTTTATTATTGTTATATAAACTATACATGTCCTATTATAGAATTTATTTCACATTTTAAAAAATTGTTAATGGACTGAGTTAAAGTGGTTTCCAGGTGGGAGGGGGTGGAAGAAGGTATGGGGACAAAAATGGTAATGGAAAAATACAATAAAAATAATAATATATTTAAAAAAATAAAAAAATACAAGTTGTTTCCAGGACAACTCAGAGGTAATCTAGGTGGATCCATGGTTTTCAGAACAATTACTAAGAATAGGAGATCAAACATAATCCCCAAAGCATAATTATAGCTTTTTATATCCTGAAAACTTATAAGCAGCAAGCATAACAATATACAAATGTTTGCCAGAAAAATGAATTTTTTTGCTTCCATCATGGAGGGACCCTTGTTCTTTGAGAGAGGAGTAGTGAGACCTGAGAAATAAATGTCTCAGAACCACTGGATTAAACTACAAATAAACCACCTTGCCCAGTGGCTCAACCCGCCAACTGTCTTCCCAATCCGTTACCCTGCTCAAGCCCAGTGGCTAGTTACCTTCTTCATCATCCACTTTAGGAAGAATGCCAGTCTCTTCATCAAAGTCTGGAAACTCTTCTTTGGAAAGAACATTGGCAGCAATCATCTAGTCAAAAGACAGAAGGCAGCATTTGCAACTTGCTGGGATCAAAACACTTGTTTTGTAGGAGAGGTTTCTGTAATAGAGGTTTCATGTAGGAAACCAAGGTTTTCTTCTCTTCTGACCAAGTATTGCAGAGCCTCAAACATCATAAATCCCACCCCAGGGGGCAAGACAACATGCTGTCCAAAAGCATGGCTCAAGGACCTCGTCCCCAGGAAGAGCTAACTGCCAACTCTGCTCTTTCCCTTTGTTCCATAGCATTCTGCACATCCCTAATTATGGAACACGTAAACCTTAACCATTTTTTGTTTCAATTTGTCTCCTCCACTTGGACTTGCAGCTCCTCAAAGGCAGGGACCATGATACTTTCATCTTTGTAGCCCTAGTATGTACATAGTACCTGGGACACTGTAGTTCTGATGTTCAATAATGAATGATAAAAACAAGAAGAAAAATTTACATAGCACTGCCATACGCAGGCACTAACCTAAGAGCTTTATTTCTATTAAGTCGTTTAATCCCCACAAGGCCATGCCACTACCGGCTGTTTCTACAGAAAGCGCACTGAGGCACAAAGGTGCGGAGCAACTCAGCGCAGAAGCACACAGCTGGTAAGTGGCCAGAATTCACCCAGGCCCTCACGCTCCAGGGCCCACACTCTTGGCCACCGTGCCACATGCTGAACGGCTATGTGGCCAGAAAAGCAACTGGCCCCAACCTGTTTGATCTCCCACTTCTCTGGGTCAGAGATGCGGGTAAGGCGCTTGCGCTCCAGGGAGTCATCCTCTACTTCAGGGGCACTGACGAGGGAGAGATGAGTGGGCCTGTCTGGATTCCTCATGGAGGTCTCCTCGTTGGTCTCCCCAACGAGATTTCGTCGTCGATTTGGGTTTAGATCTTCTCCAGTCTCTTGATCCACATCCTAAGACACAAAAACAATGAAGCTAGCTCACCTGCTGTTCTCTTTCATGTCTCCTGGGCCATCGGATGTGGTGACTGGCTACATATCTCACCTACCTTCATGCTCAGACTGGTCTTGGTCCCAGTGAAGGACAACACTTTGACCTTGACTCTCTGGCCTTTGCTCACCACATCGGCCACATTAGCCACACGGCCTTCCCGCCGGAGCTCAGAGATGTGCACCAGGCCTTCCCACCGCTTCCTGAAGGAGAGTCAGACACATTTGGAGCCTGTCTAAAATACCTTTTCCCCAACAGATTTCCACCCTTGTTGGACCTGAACAAATGGAAATGGTCTTAAACTCAAGAGAAAAGTACCAAGAAGGTGGTCAATCAATAGAAAAGCATTATATTATTACGACCCTCCTTCCCAAAGACACGGGGGTGGCGGGAGGTATGGGATGACAACAAATTCTCATCTGTCTCAAAAGGGCAGATCTCCTGATGGGAGAGGAAAGGATAAATGGCTCTATGACACTTCAACTATAAAGTCAATTTCTAATAACCTGATATGGCTAATCTGAGTAAAGTATCATTAATTTTAACAACTTTTTAGAATGTGAAAATCCCTGGTGATAAATTGGGCCCATTACTGGTGTTGCAGGAAGAGCACCAGCCATTACCTTAGTCCCTCCAGCTGCACAAAGCATCCAAACTGCATGATGCTCGTAACTTTGCCATTGTAAATGTCCCCAATGGCGGGCTCTTCGGGGGGAGGGCGGTCCACATGCTTATCCCGCCATCTGTCCAGATTCCTCTCTCCATACTTGTCTCGGTCCTTCCGGTCTTTGAGGGGACTCTGACTTCTGCTCCTGGACCGATACCTAGACTTCCCTTTATTCCTCTCCCGGGTCCTGGAACGTGATCGAGAGCGGGACCGGTGTCGCCGCTTGTGGTCTCTATCACGGTCTCGTTCTCTATCACGGTCACGGTCACGGTCACGGTCACGCTCTCGTTCTCGTTCTCGCTCGCGGTCCCGGCTCCGGCTCCGCTTCTTCTTCTTTGTCTTGTCTCTAACAAACCAACAAACACCTGTTTAAAAAAGAAACCCACCCAATTCCACCTTTGCATCCCCAAGCACCCAGTACAGTGCCATGTATATAGTTAGGTGCCTTCTAAGAGTCACAAATGAATTAGTTTCAATAACTATGACATCCCTGAAGGTCAACAAAGAATGAGGCCATAAACATATTTAGCCTCTTTGAGCCAAGACTTCTCTCTTCTCAACATCTTAGCATTTGCTGCATAAATACTCTTGACAGGGAACAATAAAGAGATCCAACAATATGGTAATGGCCAGTCTAGATTCTGTAAACTAGCCTAAAATTTTGCTTGGCTGGTCTACAAAATTCATCATAGTATGCTCAACTTTCAAAGGATAGGAAAGCAAGGACAAACCGGTGCTCAGCATCTCTTTGCTTCTCTGGGCCGGCTGCACTGGGCATTAGAGCCTCCAGGGCTTTCAGGACGTTGACAGCGACTTTCACATCATCCTCATCCAGCATGGTCTACAGAGGCAGAAGCCAGCGAAGTTAGGAGGAGAAATGGGGGGAAAAAAATCACTCAAGAATCTGTACTCCAGGAGCATTTGAGATCATGCTTCCCAACACTGTCCTCAGTTTGGCTCAAATAAATGCTTATAAAAAAATTTAAAAAAGAAAAGAATCTGTACTTCAGATACTACAGATATGACAGCCCCTAACATCGCTGACCACTTATGTGAAGAAAGCAAAAAGGGGAGGGAGATTCCAACGCAACTTGAGATAGAGGCAGAGGAATGAACACAGGCTCTTGGAAGTCATTTCTACATTTGGCAAATCCCCTTTGTCCTTAATGCAAGACGAAGGAACCCCTTCTGTGAAAGCATGCAAGTGACCATTATAAACAGAAAATAGATGCTAAAATTTTTACAAAGCAACTCCCCTGCCGTGACCAGTGTGGCTCAGCTGGTTGGGCCTCCCCTCCAGCAAAGTGAAAGGTCACTGGTTCAATCCCCAGTCAGGGCACACCTGAGTTGCAGGTTCATTCCCCACCCTGGGTGCAAGCAAGAGGTAACCGATCAATGTTTCTCTCCCTCTCCCTCTCCTTCTCCCTTCCATCCTCTCTCTCTAAAACTAAATATTTTTTAAAAAAACAAAGAAAGCAACTCTCCCTCTGCTTAATTCTCCCCTTTCACCTCCTTAATTTTTTTCCATAGTTCTTATTAGTATCAGCTCTATTCTATACTTACTTATTTGTGTATTGCCTGCCTCCTCTCTGGTAGAAGAGTTACATGCTTGTTTCCTGTCCCCACCTCGATACTAGAATGTAATAATCTCCAAGACGGCAGAAACCCTGATCTGTTTTGTTCACTGTTGTATTCCTGTTACTTAGGACAATGCTTGGCACATGGCAGTTCCTCAATAAGTACTTGCTAAAATGGAATTTAAAAACCAAAACATTTCAAAAATTAGACTTCCAACAAGTAATGGAGCAAAAAAATCTAATTTCACACTTCAGGTATCTGTTCCAGAATCTTATTTCATACCTATTTCATATCCCTCATCACTGCTTCCCACAAGTCCTAATCTTATTTCCTTCAAATACCACTCTCTGAACCCTTTAACACTATTCCACATGTAGTATGTACTGAGTGATCAAAAACTTTCACTTTGAGAAATATGTTACAATGAAAATAAACTTAAAATTAATAACTAATAAAAAAAGAAAGAAAAAATTAGTAACTAACAAGACAAAGAAGAGGGTGGGGGGAACATGTAGTTACAGTAGACATTCTCAAAATGGTATCAGTACCCGAACAGAAGGGTTGTCTGGTTGGCAAAGGACTGGGAAGAGTTCCTTCAACTTTTCTTTTTCAGTTTTGGGTTTAACAACTGGATCTTGTTTCATTAAAAAGCATGAAAGAATTAAAAAAAAAAAGAGAGACGTATTTAATATTCTTAATGATTAATGAATGAACTTCAACATTGTATTTGCATCAAACTAAAATCAGAACATTGAACTTTTCTACATATTACGCATTTACTCATATTACTATAAACATAATTTAATTTTCTAAAGAAACACTGATTACAAAACCTTCAACAAACTAAGCATGGGCAGGTGCATCAATATTCATTTGATTGGTTATACCTTATAATTCTTACAATTTTAATTTTGTCTTAAGTCATTTGAAAAAAATTTTTTTTTTAAATGTTAAAACATTTACTTGTTCAGCAGCTGCTACAAGGGAAACAAACACAATATTCTTAATGATTAACCAAAGAACTTCAACTCTGGATATGATTCAACTAAAAGCAGCCCTGACTGGTGTGGCCCAGTGGATTGCATGCCAGCCTGCGAACCAGGGGGTTGCCAGTTCGATTCCCAGTCAGGGCACATGCCTGGGTTGCAGGCCAGGTCCCCGGGGCGGGGATGGGGAGCGCAGCATGAGAGGCAACCACACAATGATGTTTCTCTCTTTCTCCCTCCCTCCCCCTCTGTCTGAAAGTAAATAAATAAAATACTTGAAAAAATTTAAAAGCAGAATGCTGACAGTCTAAACTATTCAGGAGGCTAAGCTCAGCTAGAAGCTCTGCTCACCTTTGCTAGTAGAAGGCTTTGCTGGAGGCCGCATGGTTTGTATGAGACGCAGCAAGTTACTAATAAGAGAATCCTATGAAAAGAAACAGAACAAAACTTTTCAGTCCCTGGGTCAGTGCTTAAAAACACTAAGAAAAAGGATGTCCTTTAGAGAAGGGCAGTCATTCCTGCCTGCTGCATTTTCCCATAAGGTGTCACAGGAAACACAGTTATATCACCACTGCTTAGAGGCATGCAAACATTACACACTTGATAATCTAACCACTGTACATCTGAAACTGATACAGAATAACATAAACTATAATTGAAAAATAAAACACATCACAAACTTAATGTTATATTTGATTGGTGTGTACAAGTTATTTCCCTTCTCTATCAAAACCCTAATTAAGTCCTATCAAAACTAAAATTCAATAGTGACATTGAAATAGAACAGGGGTCTCCAGACACACATACCGTGAATTCTGCACCATTTTTGACCAGAGAAGCCTTAAAAGTATCAAAGGTGGTATTTTTCTCAGCAAGACTGATCACAAATTCAGCTGCAAATGAGAAAAGGGATTAAAACATGAAGAATGGAGATGAGAGCAAAAAAAATCAATTCCAAGTGTGTTATAAACAAAACAATCCAGCAGAGCACACACAGCGTCCATGAAGGGGAAAACAAACAAACAAACACACACTAATTAGGCTATCCAAAATCATAAAAACCAAAGACCACCATCCAGTATGGGTGAAGAAAGAGAATTTAGACTACAGAGATTATCCACATATGTTCTAGTTAATTTTTCTTAAAGATCTAATTGGCTTTATTGAACGATTCATGAATCAGGCAATGTCCCATCTAGTAGTTAAAAAGTTATTCTTCTGGTTATTTTTTATAAATGAAAAGCTGTAACTACAAAATGGTGCACCTGGCCTTTGAGTGAATTTAAGAGATGAAGGCCTTATTGGCCCGTAACATCGTAACCTCTTCCTATGGAACTACTAGCTTCCTAGCTAGAGGTAACAACATCCAAAAGCATAAGCCCATGTGCATGCACACACACACGCACACACACACACACACACACACACACAGAGGCATGCATAGGACATTTTCTACAGTTTCTGGAAAGGCAGACTCTATACATCAGGCCTAGGCACTGCTGGATGGGCCATTCTCCAAGTTGATGAAAGACAAACTTGACCCCCAAATTTTTCTCTGCAAACCTGCCTAGTTCCTGAAACTTCTAATATTAGAGGAATTTACTAATTAAGGGACATTCAGGAGAGAAGTTTTATCATTTTATGATAAGCTGAGATAACATGCCTCAAACTCTTAAGTCTCGCAAGAAAATGTGAATGATTTCACTTTTAACCCTAACAATTAATAGCAACGTGAATAACGAACATAAATTAGTCCTACCATACCATTTCCGTGCTGGAATTTGCCTTTACCTTTTTGATGACAATAAGTGAAAACCAAACGCTGTCAGGCTACATGGACATAAGGTAGTAACAACAAGGCCGATGGTTAAGACCTTTTGCCCATGTACTACATGCCAGGCACTACGCTAAGTGCTTCACAAGGATTATCCCAGGATCCTCACAGCAACCCTCACAGGTAGGTACTGTCGGGGCGCAGGGCAGGCCGCCCCAAGATATCCAACTATGGTATACTGATTACTTTGAATTAAAAGTTACTCGACAAGCAGCTGACGCAAGAAGAATATCTACCATCATCATCATTATGTGGCTGCTGCTGCTGTTGTTACGCTATTTAATTATCTAGAGCCAAAAAACAGAAGCAGCGATGGCCGATCTTTGACAGCTCTGGAAAATGGTTTCTAACAACCCAGCCTGGACGGCTCTCATGCGGAGGCCATCCCCGCAGGTTCCCTTTGCCCAAGTCTCTGTGACAGACAGAGAGAGACACATACGGACACATACACTCGTCTTCTCAACCCCATTTCTCCTTCCGCTTCCCTCGAAGCCAAACCCAGAGGCCGCATGAACTTCCCCGAGCTCACCCAGGTCCTTGTCGTTGATCCCCAAGTGATTATCCAGCTCGGTGCAAACCTTCGACACTAAAGACAGATACTCGAGTTTGGCGAGTTCTTCCGCCGGGCCTATCTCCGTCCCGGTCACGACTCCCGCCCCAGCCACAGCCACCGCCACCGCCATGGCTACGGCTTCCCGCCCCTCGCCCGCCCCCTCACTGCCGGCTTTCGGGGCTCCTACTGCCCGGCCCCAATTTTCATTTCCGGGTCGATGCACATCCCTTTTGTTTACGGTAAATTGAAAACACCAGGAACTTCTCTAGACGTAACCGGATAGATAATAGAGATCAGAACGGAAGTGCTTAAGGAAGGGACGGCCGAATGGATTAAGCTTCACACCAGCTGGCGCCCTCTGCAGGCCAGAGCATTTCTTGGCGGACTCTCGGCCCGAGAGCGTTCATTCTCAGCGCGCTCCTTTGCTACGTCAGCAGAGGGCGACCGTGGCCTGCTCAAAGAGCGCCTGGGGAGCGGGGAGGTCCCGGCCCGGCTGCGCCTGCGCTTTAGAACTCTTGAAAAAGGAATCTGAATTCAAGGGGAAAATGAAAAATTTGCTTTACAATATACATCCTTATATTCCCAGGGATTTGCTTGTTCGTGACTCATGACTATCCCAAGAGACTTTGTAACAAACCAGCAGGCCATAGAGTCTAGTCCTGTTATTAACTCATTTACAGATGAGGAAACTGACATCCACTGTCTAGCTGGGTGATCATGGCAAATTAATCTCTGGAACCTTAGTTTCTCTTCTGAAAACTGGGATAAAATTGTTCTAACTGGGTCTAGGTGATGACTAAATGAGAGTTATGCAAGGAGCCTAACATAGTAAACACTACAGACGTCAGTTACTACCATTCCCAAGACTGAGTCAATGGTCACTGTAAAGTTTGTCAACCACAGATCCCCTCAGTCTGTGTTACCAGAATGCCACCTGGTTTCTCTCTTGTAAAATCCACTTCTCAACCCCTGATTGTCCTCATGGTAATGAGGCTAATACCCTCAATCCTCTCCAAACTTGTCCCACAAGATATCTGCTATGGTGTGAACCCAATGTCATAAGCCCAGGTCTCCCAACTTCAACTTCAGGCCCCATTTTCCTTCGCAGTAACTGTGTGGAGAGGTGAGGACTTTCCCACATCACACTGCTCTGTGTGGTGAACAAGGAAACGGACGCACCCCTAAGTGAGTGGTCTTGTAATCAGTCAAAACGGAGAAAATCAAACCCTTTTGCTTTTAGCTTCAGGCCACATTATACCGCTGCACTTTTGGACTCTGTCCAGCCAACATTTCACCATGCACTAAATGATGGCAGAAGGAGAAAACCCTGGCGCAGTAGTGCTCACCGCCTCCAAGACCTCCATGTTTCTAGGTTCCTAAGGAGTCAGTACTGTATCTTCCATGTGCTTCCTACTGCTCTGCTTTCTCTTCCTCCTGCTCCCTGTGAACAGAATGGAAAATCCTACACTTGATTCCACGTGCTCAACTTGCCAGTTTGGAATTAGGCTATCGGGAGTTATCCCATTGGATTTCCTTTCTTTGTGCTCCTTTACCTTTAAAAAAATTATATTAATATTCTGCTTTCCTCCCATATTTAACCGGATGGGGTGTGAGGGAACCTCTCAGTCAGGGCACACGCCTGGGTTGGGGGCCAGGTACCCAGTTGGAGACAAGCGAGAGGCAACCAACTGATGTTTCTCTCTCTCTCTCTCTCTCTCTCTCTCTCTCTCTCTGCCTTCTCCTCTCTCTAAAAATAAATAAAAATAAAATCTTTAAAAAAAATAAAAGCCCTGGGGGGAGGGCGCTATAGAACCCTCACATGTAGTAGGCATAACAGTGTAAAACTGTAAGAACTTTTCTAATTATTTGGAAATTATTGAACATTTATCTCAGTAGTAAATATTAACAGTAAAACTTATTCAATTTTATTTCCATATGCCATTAACTGCATGTTTTCCCGAAATACCATGGCATTTCTTCTGAAGCTGAAGGAAAACAAGTAAATACATAGGTACTGATAATTTGACAGACCAAACACAGATGCACATAGAACCTTACTGGGATGCTGTAATAAACTATAAATTTCTAACTGGGCAGGTTATGGTGGGTAGCCATGCCCCAGGCCTACCATTTCTCTAACAAAAGGTTTTTAAGCCAGCCCTCCCCAATGTTCCTATGCATCCAGGTTAATGTACCTTTGAAACGCCAGAATACCCCTCAAAGACAAACACCCTCAAGAGAGCACATAATCTTTTAATCCAACCCCTGTCTTGATTTCTCCCACCTTCATGTAATCTTCCTTAATTTAAAATGCATAAAAGAAACTGTGCACTGTCATTCTCCAGAGCATTTGAGATCTTGTTTCCTGGCAACTGTCAGTTTGGGCTCAAATAAACTCATAAAAATTCTCTACAGGTTTGGATATTTTCTACATCAACACTATTCCCTCTCCCCATAAAAGATGCTGAACCATTGCCCTGACTGGTGTGGCTTAGTTGGTTGGGTGTCGTCCTGAAAATTGAAAAATTGAGGGTTCAATCCCTGGTCAGAGCACATGCCTGGGTTGTGGGTTTGGTCCATGCGAGGGGCAATTGATAGATGCTTCTCTCTCTCTCTTTCTCCCTCACTTCCCCTCTCTCTGAAAATAAATAAATTAAATATTTTCTAAAAATTTAAATTTAAAAAAAGATGCTGATTCAAATGCATTCTCATTGTCCTTTAGATATTATATATTTTTAAATTGTACCAGATATAATTAATTGCCCATTATTATTATACTACCTTCCCCTGACAGCCTTCATGTGGCCCTTTTAAAACAGCCATTGATAGTTCCCAGTAAATAATTTACCTTCACAGAAATATGTTAAAACAAATAGTCTATGCTTAGTCACTAACCACACCACCACCCGTGATGGATAAGAAATTATATACCACCCACCTTGTTGTAGTAACAAGCGCTTTGTTTTTATGCTTGTTCCCAGACTGACACATGTGTTCAACCCTAACCACAATTGGCACATTACTTCTGCTCTGTCCCAGAGACTGCTTCTAGCTGTGGGCAGTTGGGTAAGAACAGAGAGGTAGGAATCAGAGAAAAATGTACTGAAACTCTTAGTAGCCCAAGGTTGGATGGAGGAGGGCAGAAATAATCTAAGTGTGTGAGCTGAAAGGTGGCATCCTCAGGGAAGTTGGTGAGAAAAATCACAGGACTTCCTGTCCCTAAACAAAATGGTTTTGCTGCAAGCAAGACAGCCCTGGCCTTTTCCTGATGGGGTAAAACTGAGATCTGAGGGGAAATAGTTCTGCTCTAGAAGGCAACATCAGAATGATTTACTTCTAAGCATGTAACTGCCACTTAACTGTGCTTGTTATTAATGAAGAGAGACTTTGGGGGAAAATGGCCCCTTTTTCCCTGCTCCTCTGGGGCCCTGAGCCAGCTGGAGAGCCTGGGAGCCAACCGACAGGCATTGAAGGGATGGCCTGAGCCCTCTCATCCGAAGCCCTTGCTTGATAGGGACAGGACCCCAGAGAAAGTAAAGTAGTGAAACACCCCTTATTTTTCACTCTTTGTCTTTTCCTCCAAATTCTCCTCCAATGTGAATCAATTCATCACACACATATTGAACATCTACTGTGTGCCCAGGCACTGCAGTAACTTCTGAAAAGGATCATTGGGGGTTTGAAAGGTGATCGAAAACCATCAAGGAAGCACTAGAATACTCTGAATGTCACGCTCCTGGCGGTCCACAGGGCTGTGTTCATAACTCTGGCCGCTCCGCTGCCCTAACGTGAGGGCCGGTGACGCAAGACAAAAATACAAATCGGATCTGTTCCCTAGGGCCGCTGGGAGGAGGGGAAGGGGGTGAGGGTCATCTCACAGGGCAGCTCCTCCAGTTGCAATCCATTATTTGTCTGCCTTATCTTCTAATGCCCAAGCACAGCCTCGATTTTACACAAAATATCCCTGACCTAAAATTCCCGTTCTTTTTAAGCCATCAACCTGCTGTCAGTAATAATGGATGCTTTGGGCTTTAAATTCTCTAAAGCTTTTCAATATTAGTCAAAAAATGTTCTGCCTCAACCAGCTTTTTCATCCTCTCCTCCCCCTCCCCCTCTCCCTCCTCCCCCCTCCTCCTCCACCTTCTTCGTGTGTGTGTGTGTGTGTGTGTGTGTGTGTGCGCGCGCGCGCGTGTGTGTGAGTGCGTCACAGTCAAGTTCCTCTTTTCTCTCTCATTTTAAGGACTGTCTTTTAAATGTCTGGAAGGCCCTGGCCATGTGGCTTACCTGGTTGGAGTGTCATTCTCGTGCACTACCAAAAGGTGGCTGGTTTGATTCCCAGTCAGGGCACATATCTAGGCTGTGGGTTTAATCCCTGGTTGGGTTGCCTATGCTTCTTTGCATTGACGCTTCTTTCTCACACAGATGTTCTCTCTCTCCCTTCCTCTCTCATTTAGCCCCACCTGTGGAAATAGGGTATTTTTGTAACCTCTGGTTTCTATTTGAGGTCATTCTTTAGAAACCTTCTTTTTTAATAAAGAGTTTAAAGTGAAAGAGAATTTACAGTGAGGCCATAAGACAGAGAGTAGCTACCTCACAGACAGAGCAGCACGGTAGGAACTTTGAAGGCTTTCCTCAGGAAAGATGGAAAGAACAAGCCAAACCAAGAAGTGGGTTGATGGGAAGAGACCAGAAAAAAGAGGGACTAACATCCTACTTGCAAGCTGAGCATGTAAAAAGCTGCTCAGTTAGCCCCGGGCCAAAAGTCTGTGTTAATCTGCACACTTTTCCATTAACTCAAAAGACACTGCTCCTCCAGGAACTCCGTCTCTTCCCCCCAAAGGAAGAAGGGCCAGCTTCAGCATCCCTCCATCCCAAAGCTGAGCGTGCCGGGCAGAGCAGCTCGGTGGGTCTCCTTCCTGGCTCTCCAGGCCCTGAGCCTCAGATCAAAAGGCTTCGGCGACAGCCATCGCTGCTGCCCCGGTGCTGGGATAGCTGCCTCTCCATCTTGGATTACAGTAATTATGGTGAGTTATGCTTCCAGGGTGAAAATTAGTGATCTGGTGAGGTAACTAAAAATGAATGCGTCTCTTCCTAGAGTTCACTCCACCCAGCTGAGCCACTAAATAAAACCAGC